ATGTTAAACAGTAAGAGTAGTAGTCATATTTCGTGAACCCTTTGAATAGTACTGTCACCGGTGTGATCATTCTATAATACACAATTTAAGCCCGGGGGAGAAATGCTAACGCTAACGCTAGCGATCTTCTCTACTTCATGCTATCTGCACAAATGGTTGACATTAAACATTAAAACAACCAGGCAGTTCAGAGAGAATCAAAGGAAGGAAGGCAGGCAGCTTTGCATGACATTCTTCAGGACGTGTTTCATTGTAGTGATAGTGAGGGTAGTCTCTTGTGTTGACAAGACAGTAGTGACGGCCATCTTGGTGACGTTTGTTGTTGACCAGAGATCAGATGTAGTTCTTTGAGCGTTTCACACAAACCAATGTGTTACTTCACAGTTTTACGACACATTTTTTTTTTTTTGACTTGCAAAATTATCTTTTAAATTGACAAACAACATATGTGTAATTCATGGCACAATTCAAACGGGATCGAAAGATAATCTTTCTCTCTCCATTGACTTCAATGCATAATTTTTCCGAAATAAGGTCCCATGGAGGTCCACCGGAAGGGGAGGGACTTCGCCACTCTATTGAGAGGAGAGAGAGTAATAACATGGGAATAGAAATACATGAATGAGTAGAGACGGTCTTCCTGGTTGAACTTGCGCTGAGCTCCATGAGATAGCTAAGATAAGATAACTTTACCAAGATGCCTGTTTGCTTTGTACCAGGTTGTAATCAAATATCTGAGATTTTCCATTAAACTTCATATTCATTGTATTAAGTATACGTTATGCTGTTAGAAATGGATGTTGGTCAAGCTCCCACACTTTTTATAAATTAACTGCAAGTACATGCAAACAGCTAAATGTATCCACCCTGTCATGGACACAATTCAAAGAATAAATACATTGTAATTACATAGTGATTATAAAATGTACATTTTCAGAAAGCTATAGTCCCTTTCTCAACAATATATTTCAGTTAATGGAAAAAGTTTGGATAATAATGAAATTATGGCAAACTATGTGTACCATGTCCACCCTGTCATGGGAAGGCTTGCTGACAGGATGGACAATGGTACAAATAGTTTGCCATAATTTCATTATTATCCAAATACTTTTTCCAACAACAATGTCCGATTGTATTGTATTGTAAAGCTGTTCGCTTTGGTTATGCTCTTACGAAACGAAATGGAAGGCATGGGACGACTTTACAAGGAACGACTTTACAAGGGACGACTTTACAAGGGACGACTTTACTTGGAACTTTACAAACATAACATGCGAAATTCATTTTGCATGTGATGTTTGTACAACATCCAACTACACACATAATATGATTAACATTTCGAAATATAAGTTACAAAACTTACTTTGCAACTAGCCAATGTCTCAGCCTCCATTGAGGAAAGACAAAATGGTGGTAGTAATGTCACTGAAAACATCAGAGGGTTTTTTATGGGGCAGTTACCGCTTAATGACAGGGTGGACAGCAAATGTCAGGGACACATGAAAAATGTTCAATATTATTATGAAAATAGAATATACATGATCAAAATGACTCGTTTTATCAAATAACTCGTTGTGGACAATAAAACCATATAATTTTTTTTTAAATGTAGTATCATTTAACCACTATTACACACACTGTAGTTAGCACTGCAGTGTGTGGGACATGCCAAAATCACGTACATCCAATGAAAAAATAAGGTATAAAATTAAGGAAACACATTTCAAGAGACTTATCATTGTACTGATATGTGTGTAAATGTTTGGCCTTTTATAATAAGACCTCAGAGTTTCATTATTCTGCTACAGAAATCCCATTGCTTTTTTGTCGAGGGAACCATGGATGTATAGAGTGGCGAAGTCCCTCCCCTTCCGGTGGACCTCCATGGGACCTTATTTCGGAAAAAATATGTATTGAAGTCAATGGAGAGAGAAAGATTATCTTTCGATCCCGTTTGAATTGTGCCACGAATTACACATATGATGTTTGTCAATTTAAAAGATAATTTTGCAAGTCAAAAAAAAAAAATGTGTCGTAAAACTGTGAAGTAACATATTTGTTTGTGTGAAACGCTCAATGAACTACATCTCTTGCACAACAATACACATCACCAAGATGGCCGTCACTACTGTCTTGTCAAAAAAGTGATTGACTACCCTCACTATCACCACAATGAAACACGTCCAGAAGAATGTCATGCAAAGCTGCCTGCCTGCCTTCCTTTGATTCTCTCTGAACTGCCTGATCTTTTTAATGTTTAATCTCAACCATTTGTGCAGATAGCATGAAGTAGAAAAGATCGCCAACGCTAATGTAGTGTTAGCGTTAGCATTTCTCCCCCGGGCTTAAATGGTGTATTATAGAATGATCACACCGGTGTGACAGTACTCTTCAAAGGGTTCACGAAATATGACTACTACTCTTACTGTTTAACATTTTGGGTTACTTAATGTTACTTCATGTTAAGGCTAATAAAAATGACAAGGCTAAGCCGGCTGTAATGCTAACTAACGTGCTTGCTACTAGCTAGGTAGCTAACTTGATCCAGCCACTCCTGGTCCTTTCATCAGACGGGAAGCGAAAGAACGAGCAAGACCCATTGCTGGTATGATAACAACCTGGTACTAAGCACACAGGCATCTTGTTAAAGTTATCTTATCTTAGCTATCTCTATTTTAGTGGAGGAAAACAATTGTGACATCAGTTATGAGTGACATCACTTACGCGACTCTGGGATTTGTAGTCTTTCTAGTTGCGTATTTTTCATAGTCTTATATTTCAACAGTTTTACGACAAACTGTGACTTTTTTGACATGGAAATGATTTTTTAAGATTGACAAACATCATATGTGTAATTCATGGCACAATTCAAACGGGATCGAAAGATAAGTTTTCTCTCTCCATTGACTTCAATACATAATTTTTCCGAAATAAGGTCCCATGGACCGGAAATAGATGGGCGTGACTTCGTCACTCTGTAATACGGATAATAACCATAACCCGAGCGCAGCTTACTTCCGGGTTTTAGGATGCGTCACTGCACCACGTTATACCATAGCTTTATACACATGCATAAACTTCACAGCGGGCGGAACTTGTCATAAAGTCCGCGAAAATAAAGCCCACCCATTTAGAGGGAAGATATGATTAGTCAATTGTACTGTCATTTGACATTACTCTCTCATTGAGTTACTATAGCTGGCCCTCTGTGAATGTACAGAGGCACCAACAAGCTCTCCGGTCTTCACATAACTCCCAGAGACGGCATTTAACCCTTCACATTCCAACAGAAACTGAACAGGCAGATTCGAAGGATTTATTTATTTGGAAATGTTATTTTAAATACAATTAAATCAAGTTATTTTGGTAAAACTAATGAAAAATATAACTAAAAAATATTTATTTTTAAATGTTTTTTTTAATAAATGTTTTCAAATATTATTTTTTAGAATATCCTAGGCCCTCAGAGAGGGCCCTGACGGCTCGCCACTGGTCTGTAAAATATGCCGGTAGTGTTCCGTGACAAAAGCTTTATAGAGTGTATATAATGTGTAATGCATTTTTAATGCTAGTTAATTTGTTGCCTCTTAATCTCGTTATTGATTAGACAGACTTGCTTTGGTGGCTAGGCTAACATTGTCCATGTAATACAAGATAAACTTTATTTACAGTGCTATGTTGCCAAACATAGCCAATTAAAACTGAAAAATTATAATATCTGAGGAAATATGTATCAGGGGACGTTACTTGTGCAACAGTCAGAACGTTAATCACAACTTTCCAGCAGCTTTCCAGTTGCTGAACACTATGTGGCAGATTATTAACCATGTCAATCTGAAGAACAATACAAAAGTTGTTCTTAAATTGAATATGGCTTCATAAGAATAAGAGCAACTGAAGCTCAGCAACAATTCAGTCCACTATTGTTGTTGTTGTGAGTGATATTCACACTGGCATTGCTGAGAAAAGCAGCGATATAAACTGTGACGTCATGACATGGCGCCTTTGCATGGATTTTTTTCAGTGGAAGCAGTCGTAGCAATATAAATCAGAAGTCTCAACAATGGTGATAAGTATAAAAAGTATATCCTTTCTGCAGCAGTCAGACAACACCACAGCCCCTGGTCGACCCTCACACAAAACAGGCTGTTGAAATGTTGTCAAATAAACCTGTAATGTGCAATATATACACTGTTTTGGGGAATTCTACTGTGCAATAATCGATATAATTTTTATGTGTAAAAAAAAGTTTTTATACTATGTCAAACCTTAAAGGTGGGGTAGGTAAGTTTGAGAAACCGGCTCGAGATACACTTTTTGTTATATTCCATGGAATGCTCTTAACATCCCGATAGCAATGAATATCTTAAGTGCTTTGACAAAAAATCCATAAAAAAATATCATCTGTGGAAGCCGTAATACTGTAAAAAGTACGACCAATCATTTTAGCCGGCCCGGCTAAAATAACTGGATGGCCTACCTGCCTGTCAGCCTTCCATCTGTGCACAAACTCATCTCGTGCCCTCATTGGTCATGTGCGCGTTCGTGTGTGTTGGAGGAGGGGCTCTATAAGGAAGTGGCAGATTTTCTCCGGTTGTGTATTTCCAAATTCTAGCGATCTCGAGCCAGTTTCTCAAAATTACCTACCCCACCTTTATGATCACTTATCTATTTAAATGCTCTTACTCATTTTTAGCTATGGGTGAGTACTGTATTGTAGGCCTATTGTTTAACTTTTTATCTGCTATATCACTTTGCTGTAACACTGTAAATGTCCCCGCTGTGGGACTAATAACATAATTCTGATGTTGGTATGTCAAATAAAATGAGAGGAATGTGTAGAGTTTAGGGTGTGGTGGGGGAGGTTGGGGGGGGTGCCCTTTTTCTATTCAAGCCGTGCTCTGCCCAAGTTTGCGCACGGCCCTGATACAGAACCCCTCCTTGCTTGGTGAACAATGTACTGTATTGAATACATAGTCTGTGGTGCAATGTAAGGCTTCAAGTGTCGTTTTTATTTCGAGGTGGTATAATCTGAAGGTTTAAAGAAGACACCCTGCCTGTTTACATGTTACACATGGCTGCTATGCCCCTCCCCCGTCCTCACTTTTCTCAACCCGCTGCCAAAATATGTGAAAGTCAATCCAAGCTGCGGCTCCATGCGCATGTTATTTAAAACTGGACACCATCATGGCAGGCGCGGCGGGCAGCTCCACTGAGCTCAGCGAGTATCCACCCTTTAGCCCGAGAAACATCGCTTCTGTGGAGGACTAGAGCTCCGAGACCTTCTGCGATTCACTCGAGGCTTCTCATGTCGCTCCCGGTGGTGTTGCCGGGGTCTTGCTGTCCGGTTATCGGGGCTTCGCAGCTCTCTGAGCCGCCTTACCGAAACCGACCCCGTGGCTTGTCCGCCTCTTCCCGGACTGCCGATGGGGGCTCTCGGCTGCTGCTGCCCGGGCGGCCGCTGCTCTCGCTGGGCTTGCTGCAGCTGCTGCTCGGCGGCTCCATGGTGGCGCTGTGCTTCGGAGCTCTGTCCCTCAGCAACTCACCCCCCATCCGGAACTCATGTCCCTTCTGGGCAGGCTCCTCGGTAAGTTTTAGTGTGCATGGCACTTCATGACAATTGTGCCTGTAACTTTATTGCAGGTCATCAAACACCCCTGACATAGCCTATGTATAGTACATCCGGTACTGTGTAAGAACAATTTAATATTCCAAAAAGGAAGTGTCACTCAGCAGGATGGATCTGTCAGACGCCTCCACATGTGTCCCTGTCAGAGCCACTGGAGAGGGGCTATTATTTCACTGAGTGTAGGGTGGCAAAAGAAAAATATATAGGTCTCTTATTACCAGTAACTAAGTACATTTACTCTAGTGCTGTACTTAAAGGTCCCATGTCATGCTTTTCCGGTTATTACCCGTCCCCTTGTGTGTTATGAAGGTTTTTATGCATGTAAACGGTCTGCAGAGTCAAAACCCTCAAAGTACACCCTGTAGCGAGTACAACTCTAACACAGGAAAGACCTGTCTATGCTGCCCCAGAACGCCTCGTTGGAGATTTCTCTTTTTCTTCCTGGGTACAGTGACGTGACAATACCCAAATGGACCAATCCGTGGAGCTCCTCACACACACACACTCTCTCAGCGGCGAAACTGTGAGCCCGGTGGGTTATGACGCTGGAGGAGGGACAAAAACCGTGGCGCAGACGGACCCGGTGGAATCAAGGGGTCACACTGTAGGTGCGCCGCGTTTGGGGGTGCGGGGGGGGCGGGTGCAAGTGGAGCCTCGCAGATGGGGGTGCTGCAGCCCCCTCAGCACCCCCCCTTCCCGCGTCCATTCGCGATGTCTCGCTGTCTCGCAGACCCCACGCAGCAAGCAGGAAATGAACCCAGCTCACACTGTCTGCTCCTCACAGCAGCGAGCCGCGCAACGTCCCGCCAACACGGCACCCAGACCCCACGCAGCATTCTCACCTGTTTGTCATTACTGGTGTTGCTAACGCCATTGTAAAACATAATCACTGATGTTCCGCTGTAACGGTGTTGGACTCATCAGAACATAGTGGGCGAGCTGACCAATCAGAGCACAGTGGGCTCATAGGGAGGGGGGGGGGCAGGAGCTCCAACAAGCCGTTTAGGACAGAGTGAATACACATACTATACAGAGATGCTGTATGAGAAACCAATGTGAGTTTGGAAAATTGCACAATATAAATGTATTTTAGTAGACCTCAACAATGGAATTATGATCAGTAGAAATGGCCATGACATGGGACCTTGAAGTAAAATGTTGAGGTACTTGTACTTTACTTGAGTATTTCCGTTTTATACAACTTTGTACTTCTACTCCGATGCATTTCAAAGGGAAATAATGTAATTTTTCTCCACTACATTTATTTAACAGCTTTAGCTACTTTAAACAAAATGCATCACTAAAACTAGTGGACTCTTTAAGAGTACTGAATTGATTTTTTTTTCAAGTAAATCAGAACTTTGTTTGTCAACAACATTACATTTCTACTTGATGCAAAAATATCATCTAGAAATGTCACATATATAAATATAATCATATAAAACACACACAAAGGCAATTGTTCTGCACAATGATAACTTTTTCTTGTTAAACTTAAGTACATTTTGCTGATAGTACTTTTACTTAAAGGTGGGGTAGGTACTTTTGGAGAAACCAGCTTGAGTGCGCTAGAATTTGAAAATACACAACCGGAAAAAATCTGCCACTTCCTTACAGAGCCCCTCCTCCAACACACACGAACGCGCACATGACCAATGAGGGCACGAGATAAGTTTGTGCACAGATGGAAGGCTGACAGGCAGGTAGGCCATCCAGTTATTTTAGCCGGGCCGGCTAAAATGATTGGTCGTGCTTTTTACAGCACTACGGCTTCCACAGATGATATTTTTGTATGGATTTTTTGTCAAAGCACTTAAGATATTCATTGCTATCGGGATGTTAAGAGCATTCCATGGAATATAACAAAAAGTGTATCTCGAGCCGGTTTCTCAAACTTACCTACCCCACCTTTAAGTAAGATTTTGAATGCAGGAATTTTTGTTTTAATGAAATATTTTGACAATAATGTATTGGTACTTTTACTCAAGTAAAGCCTCTGGATACTTATTCAACCTCTGCTTATTATGAATTAATTAATACCTCCTTAACGCTGCAGTTAAGTTGTGGTCCAGCATGATCACTTAGAAAGTTACATGTGGAATGTCACTGCATCATTTTCTGTGTACTTCTAAAGGATATCAGAAAAGAGTTTAATAGGATATAATGATTAGGTGGTAGGCTACAGACTTGATTTTTGTATTAATTGCTAGTAACATGCTTATTAGAAGTTAATTAAGTTAAGTATGTTCTTTGGATAAAACTAATTGTAGGTCACATAATTTATTTATTCAACTTCTGTATTTAAACATAATAGTGTATTTCAATGTTTTGCTACTCTATACTTTTACCCCACTACATTTATTTTACAGCTTCAGTAACAGTTATACATAGGATAGGATATAGATCAACTACTAAATCATGATGTATTATTACAGTTAAGCTATAGCCACATAGTGTTGTGGAAATGTCACATTTCTGGTAAGAAATAAACACATATAGAAGTAAAACAAAGTTGTGCTATTCAATAAAGTGTCAACAGAATCGATTTCAGCTGAAAGTATCTGACCATGAGCACACACTGAAAAAACTGAACCGTTGACTTTAATTAAATGTATTATGTCAACAGATGTCACATAACTGTATTATGTTAGTTGAAAGCAATAATATTAAGTTAAAAATACAAAATATTAGGTTCAACCTAATATAATTGCTTTAAACTTACCTAATACAGTTATGTGAAAATTGAAGTCAACGGTTCAGTTTTTTCAGTGTAGGTGTCAGCATTTTGAGACTTTGTTGCTTCTGAAATACAACTGGCTTTGCCCGGACTTATGGCTTGACTTGTTTAAATGCAAATGGCACAACTTCCCAATTTATGGTACTATATATATGGTGTAGCATATCTGTCAAACAAACACACACTCAAACAAATCATATCAGATATGCTGTGACACTGTGCTACATAATAAACCTTGTTTTTTTAATTTCATTTTTACATCTTACCTTTTTTATTGGATAGAACATTTGAAAAGGGACTGGACAGGGGAAATGCAACAAAGGGCGGAGGTCAGATTACATTTGCCAGTAGTAATAATAATTAGTTATGTATAATGTTATAACATTATTGCCATATGCCTGTTTAATTATTTAATTATTCTTAATAAAGCAAGCAATTAAGGTGCATTTAATCATAAGTAGAATCTCCGAATCATTATAGAAATAACAGGCACTCTGAATTGCTTCAGGGAAGTTCCATACATTTTGACTATTCCATGGCTGCGTTTCACTTCGGTTAAATGGATTCCTTGCATCCCTCACTTGCGTCGTTTCCCTGCGACTAGTCCCTCCCACCAGGGAAGCATGGAGAGACGCAAGGAAACCACGAGAAGCAGGGAAATGAGTTTTAAGAGCAATGGGACGTCCTTTCCTCCGGAGCGCCACGTGAAGCGACGTCCGTTTGTGATGACGCCGCACAGCTGTTCGTCTGACAGCAGCTCTGTCCCCGTTATTTTCACAAACACCCCCGCCTCTGCACATTTACTGACACAAACATTTGTATCATCTGTTCTAGACCCAAATAAATTAAATCAAATAAGAACTCATTCTCAAAAAAGATAAACGCCATTCTTAAAATGTATAAACGAACAATAGTTTGATTAATATTGATTAGAGTGCACAATAGAAATAAAATAATTGAGAGAAGAAAAAGAGATATGTTATCTATCAAAACCCAGTTAGATTAACATTCATTGGATTGCACACTTTGTTTGTTTGTGTGGATATGTAGCAACATTTTAAATAGCACTTAATGACTGACTGAATGGAAATGACAATAAATGAAAATGTAAAACGAAAAAAGCGATCATGAAAATGTTTCCAATAAATGAATAAAATGATTTTTGTCCACTTTGTTGTTCAGATATATCACATATTTGTAACTGAATTATGCATTAATTGAAACAAAACACAGTATGAACTGAGGAGTGAGTCCCGAGAGTTTCATGTGTTTTCTTCACTCCGCTGGGAAACTCTGCTCTCATGTCAAGAAGCATCAGATCAGTGCATGCGCTGCATCGTCCAATCAGTGAGCGATACACAGTAAGGGGGCGGGGCGAGTGCCTGAGGATTTCATCGAAGGATGGTCTGGTGGTTCCTCGATTATAGCTCCTCCATTATCGCTCCTCGCTCCTCGCTCCTCGGTCCTCCGGCAAAAATAAGGCCATTGGGACGCTACTCAAGATGGCGCAGACAAATCAACTTCCGGTGAGACCGAGACCGAGGAGCGAGGAAATGAAAAATAAGAGAAGTGAAACGCAGCCCATATACTATAAGTTAAGTTGAGACACCTTGCCAGGAGATCCTCCACTCATTTGACAGGCTATACAGTATTGGCTAACGCTCCAACACATTGAACATGATAGTCTTAGGGTACTCTTTAAGGATAAATAAATATATTGGTTTTCCCTTTTTAACACATTTTCCACTGTGTGTTTCCAGGTCATTCTGTCCGGCATCGTAGGCCTCACAACATGGAGAAGACCCATGCTGCTGCTGGTAAGATATTTGCTCTTTGTTCTTTATACAAAGAAGTGATTGCATTTGTTACAATGTTTGTGTTGCTGTTACATTTAAGTCCAGTCACTTAGGGATGTCCAACCATGTTCCATGCAGGGCCACGGTCAGCAGGTTTCCAGGCTCCCTCTCCCCTCATCGGTGCTCCTTCGGGAGGCGGGGGGGGGGGGGGGGGGGGGTAGATTAAGAAAAGACAGATATGGAAGAATATGGAACAGCATTCTGTGGCAAAAAGATGCCTCCACCTCGATCACCTCTTTCTCCTCGAGGTTTCTGTTATGGTCAGTTTAGTGATGCTGGCGGTTACCATGGTAGCAACAGGTTTAACACTAGAGTGGCTGACTCAGTCAGTGTGTTGTAAAAGGAATTTCCATTTTGCTTTTTGAACATTTTTCAAGTTCTTAGGGATTCTTATGAAATGAGTTGTGTGTAACCAATTGCCCCTTGCGGGATTAATAAAGTTGTTGATTGATTGATTGTGTCTTCTAGAATTTCCATTAGATCGTGGATGTAAATACATGTTTAGAGACTGGGAGAGCTCACCAACAGTTATTGATGTTTGTGTATGATGCTTAAAACAAAGTAAGATGTGAGACAGCAGAGCAGCACCATGATGTAATGGGAGTGTTCTTCAACAAGTCCATCTTTAAAAGTTCTGAAATATCTAGTAGTAGTGATGTCAACAGGAACGTTGTGGCCTCTATGGTTTTTCAGTACCCAACCCACTGAGTACTCCCGCATCGACGTAGCTACATAAAATACCATTATTTGTTTGGCCTGCCCTTATTTCATGTGGGTGAACATTTACTTGGCCATTAAAGCTGCTTCTGATAGTGTCGTTCATTACTTTAATGTTATAATCCAATATGAAGTGGCAGAAAATAGACATTCTCAGTGACAGGAAGTGAGGGAGAGGGACTTTCATTTCATTTCAAACCTTTATTTATCCTTGAGATCATAGATCTCTTTTTCAAGGGAGGCCTGCACTGTGGGGTAGGGGTAGTTAGCTAATTATTTGTGGTCTCATAAACATGAAGTTGATCAAATTGGGCGCCTCATATTGTTTTTTTTTACTTGATATTACTTGAGAGTTGTGTTTATGGGGCGGCAACGCTCTCTTAGTTCATCCATGACGCAGTCACGTGGAAATACCTCGAATCTTTCGTCATGCAGAAGGGTGTGTTGAATCTAAACTGATAGAGACGTCCTCCTGTTCTCGTGCGTTTGAACACTGGAGGTCAACTCGCCAAGTTATACTCCCAAAATCAAAAAGTCATTAGTGTGAAGGAAATCCGGGCCGCAAACAACACACGACAACAACAACAACAACAGCTAAATAACATTTTGTCAACCTACAGTTGTCCTAATACCGTTTTAGAGTTTTCTCATCTCATTTGGGATATCATTTATGATATAAGAGGGATGGATGTTTTTGCATTTCTCATAAAACAATATATGAAATGGTTATGGTGTGATTTCTTTTTTCTTTTTCTTTTTTAACAAAGGTTGTAGTCTGGTTGTAGGGTGCTACAGAAAGGACTACAGGCCTTTACAAATGTAACTGGATTAATGTGGACGTATTCTTTACCTCCTACTGGGATGGTATCGTTAGGATTTTAACGGTGCTCCTCTTCTTACCGATACTGCTTATCGATCTGGTACTTTACTTTTCTCACGTAATTCTAGACGGGGAAACAGAGCTACACGATAGACAGTCGAAAACTGTGCATTTCTCTGTCTGAATGTGGTGCACCTTTGCCAGATGTTCAAAAGATTTTTCCACCCTTGCAAGCAAACAACTTATCGCAGTTCTGATAACAAGCATCATCCACATTGATCCTTGTGAAGGTTAACCACCATTTATAACGTTTAATTCTCTCTACCATTGTCTCTGTCAGATCTCTGTCTAATTGTATGGCAAGGAGCAGTAGCGTAGGGATTTGAATGAGTGCAAGTGCATCACAGACACATTCTGTAATCTTATTACAAATGACAAACAGAGATGGTGAGATAAAATGTGCAATATAACGTTTGTGTAGCAATAATAAATATGACATATATTTTCTTTTTTTCTCCAGTACTGATAACAAAACCGGTAAAGTCGGAATATATCGATACCACAGTCTTTAAAAATGTAGCCCCGGGGATCCGTTTAATACCGGGTTTCAGTATCAGTACCCATCCCTACCTCCTACCATTACTAAAATATATTTACTATACATTTGAACATTGCTCTTTCTTGTGAAAGAGCATAAGGATAGGAGTATCGTGTCTTAATATTTGTCCTTGTTTGATGTTGCAAATGGAGCTGCTGTGGTGCAAGAAAAACGTCAGACTTGATCTGACAATAAAGTGTTATCCTATTGATGATTTTAATTGGACTGTTTAGTAAGATAATGTCATGTCACCTCCCTGTTTGTACATGGTCCATTACAGCAACTGTTTATCTCCCAACATGTGTTCACATCATGTTAATTCTGTCTTGTTTTACAGAATACAGTATGTCCACTGCACCACAATAATCCATTCTCCCTTCCTTTTTCATCCACCCCCTGCCCCCATCCCTCCATCTCCAGGTCAATGTGTTTGTCCTGCTGTCTGTGGTGTGTGTGCTCCTTAACCTGGCTGGATTCATCCTGTGCTGCCAGGGAGCCCAGCTGGTGTCCAGTATGACCAGCTGCCAACTGGTGAGCTGTCTCTGCTGCTCTCTGCAGTGAATGCAATGAAATACTGCTTACTAGTTTGATATATGACCAGTTGAACTAGTTAACTGGAGCAGGATATATTGTGGTGCACTGATGATGTTTTTTTGTTGTCCGATCCGGAAGTTAGCATTACAAGGGCTCCCTCAGAATACTGCTGAAAATAATATCTGTAGCCCCCACCTGTTAATGATACTTACACGTTTAGTTCAGCAGGATAATCACATATTATCACTACTTTTATAATAGGTGAAGCGTAAATGCAACCGCTAGACGTAAAAAGTTAACGTTAGGCCTTGTGCTAACTACATCACTTTTGCGAAGCTGCGCATCACCACTGCTAAGCTAAATGCGGCTAATGTTGGGCGTGATGACATTTAGTACTCTCATTTACACACTTGTTAGCTACCGCCATTTTTATGACACATAGAAACCAATGGGGTATTTACTGACGTATTTGATATTGTTGAAAGAAAATGTAAAAATCTCTTTAGCTTGTGTACACCACAGACTTTATTTTACGATTCTAACCAAACACACGTTCAAGAAAACGTTGATTGAGACGACAGAACAAGACAAAGTAAAATCTTAACACATTTGCGTGTTTCTAGACTCATCCCTGCACCACTTTATAACTAGAGGTGAATTGATGATTGACAGGTGACTAGAATGGCACGATTTTCAGCCAATGGTTGAGATAAGAAGATTCTGTGCCTTTCCAATATACAAACAGCTCACTATTTTATTGACAATATACAGTATATGTCACTGCCAAACACACACTCAGTGCTGCTAACTTTCTCACTGGATTTAGCGACTTTTCAGAGCCTCTTATGGCGCATTTCCATTGCAGCGCGTAGCTCGCTTTAAGCGTGCCGTGTCGTGCCGTCCCCTTTTTTGGTTGTGCTTCCACTAGGCCTCGTTCCGGCGCGGCACGGCGCGGGGCCACTTTTTCCCCTCTTTTCTGGCCCTAGAAAATTGTGGTTCTATCGGGGCCAACAAACAGGACTGAGTCGGGCTGAGTATGCTAAACTAGAGAGAGGAGCGCTGGCAAGAGGGCTAGAACTACAACAAGATGGACATATTTGACCGTGATTTAATTGTAATACACGTTTCAAAATGATGCCGAAGTAACAACATACTGATACCGGTTAGTAAAAACCATGAATTAATGCTTTGTCAAGTCTGCAGACAGACGGCAGGCGAAAAACCTTTTAAAATGCGTGTTTCTAAATGGAGATTGGCTAAGCTAACGCAGTATATGCTCCGACCGTCCACACTCACAACAACGGCCTATACAGACATAAATACAGCAGCGACTGTATTCACCATGACACAGGCAGTCTGTGGTGTGTACTTGTTTAACTTTTGTCGAGTTTCTGAACATATATAAGGAGCTGTGAGCTCTGAGTGCTCACAGCTAACGGCTGTGTTGTGTTTCTGGATTTCTCATTGAAGATGACGTCACGGCTCCGCCTACACTGCGTTACTATAGTAACTACCCCAGTTCCTAAACTGTAATGGAAGCGCAGCATGAAGTGAGTCGGCCCTGTTAAGGCCCAACGCGGCCAAGCCGTACCGAGCCGTACCGAGTGTGGCCGAGGCCGACCGTGTAGTGGAAATGCGCCATTAGAGAGATATACAGACCGTCAGGGAAAAAGGGAGGAGTATATTCAATCATGTAATATTGTAATACATTGCCAATGCTGCACAGAGTACTGACAGTGGGAGTCCTTGTTTCATACTCACAGTTGATTTCAGGTCATGTTTATTCCATTCCAGCAGGTTTTATCTGAGCTTTGGGACATATCCAGTTCAGATAAAGACCAGATGTTCTAAAGCTTTTGGATTGTGCAATAATATGCAGAGACATGTTAACAGTGTTTCTCTGGAAATACTTAAGTCATGCAATTTTGTTAAGAAAGCTGTCCACCTCTGAGGAACATTGGGATTTACAACAGCCACAAGGAAGATGGTATTGGTGAAAAGATAAATGCACTAAATATATACTTTAACATAAATAAAATCCCATTATTGGAAAGATAAATTAAGCAAATAGATTGTAATGCAAACTCACTTTCTTTTGCTTAGCTGCCTCCACATTAATTTACATTAGTTTGCTGCTGTTTGGTTTCCACAAAAGCCAAACTGCAGTTACCCAAAAAGGGTAATTTTGTATATAAACTGTGTTGGAGCCACTTAGAGAGTTTGGTCAAAGAATAATATCTAATGGTATTAGATATTTATTTAATTCATTCATTAAATTGCCTTAGCAGATGACATTATAATTAGATTTATTTTATTTCAACAAGAGTTTATTGTATAGTAAATACTTTTTTCGGGGCTATACTAAATAACAGCTTCGTGTAGGATGTTTGGGAAATGTGTATCAGACACCTGACCTCAGGTGGCTTCAGAAATTAAAAGAATGGATAACCTACTTCAAAATTGAAAATAAATATCAATTAAACATACTGTATTTGTCTGATAAAAAACGAATCATATAATTATGTATATGGAATTTGTTTCACAAATATATTTGTTGGTATTTACCCTTATGGTTATGTTGTAATAATATCCCTTTTTCAACACAGTGTTGGTATGTGTGTATTAAGCATTGGGCTGGTGTTCTTCACTCTCGTCTCCGAGCAAGAAAAGGATGTTGCAGGTTGGCTGCAGGAAATGAGATGACTCTTCTCAGGACGGAGCTTGTGTGACCTTTTGACCTTGCCCGCTGTTGTGTCGTCGTTCCTTCCTCCCACTGCCAGGTTTCTTCTCCTCTGTCTCTTTCCTGTCGCTCTGTTTTTAACATGTCCTGTCTGTGAGGATGTAGAGGGATAAGATATATGGGGTAACACACTCTTTTGCACTCTGCACTATAAATACTGGTGTGTGTGTGTGTGTGTGTGTGTGTGTGTGTGTGTGTGTGTGTGTGTGTGTGTGTGTGTGTGTGTGTGTGTGTGTGTGTGTGTGTGTGTGTGTGTGTGTGTGTGTGTGTGTGTGTGTGTGTGTGTGTGTGTGTGTGTGTGTGTGTGTGTGTGTGTGTGTGTGTGTGTGTGTGTGTGTGTGTGTGTGTGTGTGTGTGTGTGTGTGTGTGGACCTATTTTCAGATCAAGTGCAGCAGTTCTCCCAATGTAGCTTAATTTGGCGTCAGATGTAAACAGAGACTTTCTTCAGTAATCGATTTCTCTCTGACTATTTGCTTTTGCAGAAATATCTTTGGGAGCATATCATTATTAATGTGTAATCACAAGTAGAGGTTTAAAGAGTCATTATTACATCAGAATTCAGTATTGCATCTGCTTTTTCCATCTGGATCAGATAAATATTATTGTCAGGTCAGCTAGCTTAGCTCTGTCTAAAGTTCAGAAATACACGAGCAGCTCCTCTAAAGATCACTGATTTACATGTTTCTTCTTTGTTTGACCTGGATACAGAGAAAAGTAAAACATATTTCTGATCTTAGAGGAAAGTATACTGACCTTTTTCCTTTGAGCACGCTCATTTTCTGAAGCCACTGTGTTACACGAACATACTTCATTATGTTTGACATTTCTGAAAATATGTTCACCTTTCATAGAGTGCAGTCAGGACATACAGTTGTTAGCCTGGCTCTGTCTAAGTTCAAAAACACACTAGCAGCTCCTCTTAAGTTCCCTAGTTTATCTTCTTTGTATAACTTGGACACAAACAGAAATGTAAAAAGTACTTTAGTGGATGACTGCCTATCCACCTGTAAAAATGTATGTTATGCTTTATTTTAACAAGCTACAGTAGGACATTCAACTTGACTTTCATTTGATCTCTTTATTTACTACAAGTATCATGATTGTTATTTACTGTTTGTCTATGTTTTGCCCTGCATACTTTTTCCAATGCTGTTCCATAAACAAATTCCAGTGACTGTGGTTCTGTGTTCAATGTGTAATTGGTGTCTGCTCCTGATGATGTCATGAATTAAGAAATGTTTGAAATCCTATTAAGCTCCACCCTGTGTGTGTTTGTGTGTTTCAGAGTGAGGCCGGAGATGTGTGTTACTGCTGCTCCCTCTCCCCCAGCTCCAATTGTCCTGAGGAGAAGCTTCTGGAGCTCCACCCGGCCCACTCCTGCAGCACCATGAGGATCCTGCTCAAGGTAGCCTGTGAGCTAATGAGTGAACACACCCTGAGTAGGAACATATATTTAATACATTTACACTTACAGTATATGCACAGAGGTTGTGCTGTCGTAGTGCTTCTGCAGCCGGTTACACTGCCAGCTAAATATTCTTACAGTGTTTTCTCATTTATCTGGCCAGAAGTCTTTTTGATAATGACCGAACCCCACCTGCCTTATGTAAGATAAGATAAGATGGACCTTTGCTGTTCCCCGTAGGGAAATTCAGGTGTCATAGCAGCAACAGAATAAGAAAGAAACACAGATAGTACACATGGGAATATACACAGGGATAATAAGAATAACAATTCAATAATAAAAATAAAGAATAAACATATACTAACAGTAAGAAAAAAGGACAAAAATAACATGAGTTAAACTCTGATCCGGCGAATGTAAATGTATACACATACAGTATGTGAGCGAGTTAATACATATACATTGAAATGTGCAGGTACCTTTATGGGTGAAAGTGGTATGTGAATACTAATAATAATATTCAGTGCAGGTTATTTGTGGAGCCTGATGGCTACAGGCACAAAAGATTGTCTTTGTTTGTTGGTGTTACCCCCCCTGCACACCACAGCAATTGAGTGTACACTGGCTACCACAAACTGGTAGAACATCTGCAGCAGCTTTGTGCAAACATTGAAGGATCTGAGCCTCCTCAGGAAGAACAACTTGGTTGTTTCTTCCTGAAGAGAGCATCACTGTTGTCCGTCCAGTCCAGTTTATTGTTCAAGTGCACTCCTATAGGTGGTTTAAAAGATTGTGCAGCCTGCTGGGAATGTAATGTTGATGACACTCCGGTACCTGTGCTATGGACATGCCCCAAAATCCAAATTCAATTCAATTGTGGATGGAGACTCACTGTTACTTTGCTGATGTAATGTTTTGTATCAGACTGAGACTGTAAGGTGTTATCTGCTTTTTTGCAATTGAATTTCATTTAATTCATTTGTTCATGCTGTAAGTTTTAAAAAGTAAAATCATAGCACACAATAGAGATGTATGAAATGGGACACCCTGATCAACTATCCGAAGCTTTATAGTGATGTACAGCACTCTCCTCAGTTGTTAGGCTATGTGAAGGTTAACAAAAATACACACATTTCTGTAGGTTACTTATTTTAACTAAAATGAGCTGATGAAAGTAAGGTCCAAGGAAAGTCGAAATAGTGAAACCCCTGGTAAAAAAAACCCTCCTACCTTTCCTGAGATCGATTTAAAAGAGAAGATTAAAGGGGATGACATGAGTGAAGGACCATAGGCGGGATCTGAACCGGCATCTAGTGAAGTAAATCAGCAGCGCTACATGCTGCTCATCAGTCATCGTTTTGTACTACACTCTTCTTCTCAGGTTTCTTTTTTTTCTGTGTCTAATCTGATGGTGTGTTTTTCTCTCTCAGAAAGTCTTGTTTGCACTGTGTGCTCTGAACGCTCTGACCACCGCTGTGTGCCTGATGGCCTCTGCGCTGAGATACCTGCAGATCTTCACGGCGAGGACACCCTGCATGGTACGATCTCACTACAGGCAGCAGCAAGGCTCATGGTGGCCTTCACCTACACTGGGCTGGCACCGTAGTTTACTCTTTGGAAACATCCAAATGTGTTTACTTCCTGTCTGTCTTCTTCTGCTGTTCCCTTTATTGTTTACTTCCTGTCTGTCTTCTTCTGTTGATCTATCTGACATCAAATGCTCTGTCTTTTAACCTCCTTATGCTTTGCAGTGGTGTGTTATCGAGTATTAACAACCTCTGTGTAATAACACCAGTTATCCTGTAAAATCGTTGTTGCATAAATGCAATTCCCAGAAGTAAAAAATAAAACGATTTAAAACTGAACTATATCATAGACTTCAGGTACCCCCCGCCTATATTCGGGTTGATGATGTTAGTAAACCTTCTCCAGTGGAGTATTTACTGATGCATTTCATCTTGCAGCATACAACTTTAAAATATTCAGTCTTCTAACCAAAAAAACAAAAAAGAAAGATTGACTTTGAGAAAAGCAAACAGGACTTGCTAAAATGCTAACTCATTTTCGAATTTTAGGACTCATTCCTGCACCACTCTATAACCTTTAACATGGTGTATGATGTCACTGCTCTGTGATAGGACGAGCAAAGGGCCACAGCTGAAGAGAGGGAGGAGCCTGCTCAGGTCCCTGACCCAGATGAGTTTGTGGCCCCAGCCCCTCCCCCCTCCTACTTCTCCACTTTCTACTCGTACACACCACGCTTAGCCCGCAGGTAACTACCCCCCCCCCCCCCCCCCCCCCCCCCCCCCCCCCCACACACACACACACATACATCTTTATTACTCTAGTTTTAGTGTCTATGTGTCACATGATAACTAGTTTGTTGTGTGTTTGTTTCAGGATCCTCGGGGACAGTGTGATCCCTCTCCCTCACATCTACGGTGCTCGAATCAAAGGGGTGGAGGTCTTCTGTCCGTTGGACCCCCCACCTCCATATGAGGTTGTTGCTGGAAGCTCTGCCAATGCAGTCAGACAGGTACACTCCAAATGAACCTCCTTTACACTAAAGGCAAACGAAGACTGGATGTTTGACATGATAACTTATTGGCTCAAATATTTGTTTCGCATACATCCATACTGAAATATCTGCAATAAGAGGATATCAGCCAGGCTGGTTTATCGGTCCAGCTCTAAACTAAATAACTTGGAGGGATCTGGACCTTTTTTTAGATAAAAAAATCCATGACAGTCAATCTTGAATTTTTGTCAAAGCTACAAACTCTGCAACATCTGAGATTTGTATCTTCTCAACATAACTTTTTGTTATTGGCTTCAAACATTGAAGGTGACACAGGTGTGGTAAAACAAATTACTTGTGATGTACACACTAAGATACAATATTAGAAATGCATGAATAAAATGTAATTTTATCCTCCATGTGCCAACTATGAGATCTCATTACAGAACAATAATCCATCCAATACATCATAACAACTATATAATAATATATAACAAACCTTTCCTTCATCCCACCAGCATCCCAGGTCTTTCTCAATTTATAAACTGAGTTACTGCAAGAACCGACCAAAGTTACATCAGTGAAGAATAAAGGTACATGTGTCACTAGTGGTCATAACTATAGCAGTGTGTGGATGTGTGTTTCCCCCAGGAGACAGAGATTGCACTGACAGAGCTGACTATATACGCGACGGCCTCTCCCTCAGAAGCCAGTGATCCAGGTAGGACATACTTACACATCAGGCCGAGTGTCGATTGGCTGATAACTGCTCTCAATCTTTGTACTGCCCTTTGATAGGATGATCAGGGGGAACAAAAACGCTGTGACAGTGGTTCTCCAGTGTCATGTACATTAACTCCTGCTGTATCGTACTATCAAGCTGTTTTCTTGTGCCAGGCTAACTCAATTAAAGGTCTCCTATCATGCAAAATGCACTTTTTGATGTCTTTTATACATAAATATGTGTCCCCGGTGTGTAAGGGAACTCACAAACGGTCAGAAAACAAAACCCTCTCTCTTTTCCTCCATACCCAAATCTAAAAAAAACGGGGGTTCAACGGAGCTGATGCAGATTTGCTGCGTCATGACGACATTGCTAAAATGTGGGCTGGCTTTACACCCACGGCCCTATCAGAAATGTCGCTATCAGAAACAATGCGCGACGTGTTTTGGACGTAATATGGTCTTTTTTTACATTAGCAAGCATTGCTAACACTCAGAGCTAACGCTGTACTGGAGAGAGTATGTATACAAAAGCAGGAAATAAAAAAAGGAACTCACCTTGTAGTGAACCCGCAAGAAAAGAAGCATTTGAGCTCCATACTGTTTCAGAAATAATAATAGTTTTGAACATGATATGGCATTTAATCACGGCAGCGTTTAGTTGAGTGTCTGGGTGGAATTATGTGCAGGCCTAAGCTCCCCCCCCTCTTTTAAAAAAAAACGTCCACACAGCAGCGTGCGTTGAAGCTTGCCGGTGGGCGTGTCTGGCGTGTGACCAACAACCAATCACATTAATCTCCCGCCCTGGACACACAAGCACGCGGTTTGATTGGCTAGCGCTTGTACTGGCATATGATTTGATTGGCTGGCGCTTCCGTCGACACTTGAAAAGTTGAACTTTTCTCAACTTTCGAAGCGAGCAACGGAGGCAAAGCGACGTGACGGAACCACAATGCAGTTCGGCAAAGCGTGACGTCACCCCATTCAAAGTGAATGGGAAGCGTCTCCGTTGAAGCAACGCACGCTGCCGTGTGGACGGGCTGTAATAGGGCTGAAATAGAGGGGTATGAGGCATGGCTAGAATGGGTGATCTGTTTGTTATTTTGAGCAAAACACTTCAGACATGTTTTTTATATATTTGTATTTATCTAATATATATATATATATATAGAGATATATCTATAATATATGCCTACGAATAGTATAATAGGAGACCTTTAAGACATATTAAGCTGTTTGGGAGAGAAACGCCCTCTGGAGGGAACCATTTACATGCACAGAAACGTATTAAACACAACACCACATTTTTTGGAATGTGTTTTACTTTTGTACGTGAATTTAGAGACCAAAGCCTCCACAGTCACATGCATTCCGGGGGCCAGAGCGGGCGACGTTGAGGCGCATCTTAAATTGCTGGCTAAGGATAAACGTAAATACAGTAGGATTGTTATTCACGTCGGTGGTAATGATGTTCGTTTACGGCAATCAGAATGCACCAAAGTTAATGTGGTGTCGGTGTGTAGATATGCAAAAACAATGTCGGACGCCTTCATTTTTCCCCAATCTCATCAATGACGACATGTATAGCCGCATGTCATCATTTCAGCGCTGGTTGTAGGTGGTGCCCAGCAAACGATGTGGGCTTCGTAAATAATTGGACAGCCTTCTGGGGAAAACCTGGTCTGATTAAGAGAGACGGCATTCATCCTCAGATTATAATATTGATATATGCTGTCTCACTGAAACTTGGTTGAGACATGAAGAATATGTCAGCATAAATGAGGCCACTCCACCCAGCCATATCAATACTCATATTGCTCGAGGCACAGGCCGAGGAGGTGGAGTTGCAGCCATCTTTGACTCAAGTTTACTTATCAATACTAAACCAAAATTAAATTATACCTCCTTTGAAAGCCTTGTCTTACGCATCCGACCTGGAAAACATTGCAGCCAATCTTATTTGTTACAGTGTACCGTGCACCAGGTCCTTATTCAGAGTTTCAGTATCAACTTTGGTACTTAAAACAGATAAAGTAATTATCGTAGGTGACCTTAATATTCATGTTGACGACGATAAAAATAGCCTTACTGTTGCATTTAACTCTGTATTCGATTCTATTGGTTTCCGTCAGAGTGTAAATAAACCAACCCACTGTTATAATCACACTCTCGACCTTGTTCTGACATATGGTATTGAAATTGAGCAACTATTAGTCGAACCGCATAATCCTGCTTTATCCGACCATTTTGTTTTGGTAACTTTACTGTTAATAGATTACAAACCATTAGTCAAAAGCTCCTGCAGCAGAAACCTATCTGTTAGTGCTATAGCCAAATTTAAGGAAGAGATTCCACCAATACTTAACTCGATAGCTTGTCTGTATGTAAGGGAGGAAACGTATACAAAATGACCACCCCAAATTGATCATGTTGTTGATAGTGCTACAGATGCGTTGCGAACACAATTAGACTCTGTTGCTCCTTTGAAAAAGAAGAAAATAAAACAACATAGATTAGCTCCATGGCATAATGCCGAAACCCGCAAAATAAAGCAAAAGTCGAGACAACTAGAAAGGATATGGCGTTCCACTAAACTTGAAGAATCTCATTTAATATGGCATATTACTCTCAATGAATATAAGAAAGCACTGCGTAAAGCGAGAGCAGCTTACTACTCTTCATTAATAGATGAGAATAAGAATAATGCAAGATTTCTTTTCAGCACTGTAGCCAGGCTGACAAAGAGCCACAGCTCTATTGAGCCTTCTATTCCCATAGCACTCAGTAGTAATGATTTGATGTGCTTTTTTTAATGATAAAATTGTTACTCTTAGAAACAAAATTAATGACCTCTTGCCTTTGACCAGTATAGTGTTATCAACAGCTCCCGGAAACATAAGTTCTAATATTACACTAGATAGTAAATTAGAATGCTTTTCAGCCATAAACCTTGAACAATTAAATTCAATGATTCTCTCTTCTAAACCATCAACGTGTATCTTAGACCCGATTCCAACTAAGCTGTTAAAGGAAGTTTTTCCATTAATTAACACTTCTTAATTAAATATTATGAATATGTCTTTATTATCAGGCTATGTTCCACAATCATTAAAAGTAGCAGTGATAAAACCTCTTCTTAAAAAGCACAACCTCGATCCAGAGGTTTTAGCCAATTATAGACCTATTTCTAATCTTCCGTTCCTCTCAAAGATTCTTGAGAAAGCAGTCGCAAAACAGTTGTGTGATTACTTAAAAAACAATGATTTATTTGAAGATTTTCAGTCTGGCTTTAGAACACATCATAGCACAGAGACAGCTCTGGTTAAAGTCACAAATGACCTTCTAATAGCCTCAGACAAAGGACTTGTCTCTACTCTTGTCTTGCTCGATATCAGTGCTGCATTTGATACTATCGACCATGACATCTTATTGCAAAGACTAGAGCACTTAGTTGGCATAAAGGGAACTGCTTTAGGCTGGTTTAGGTCCTATCTATCTGAACGCTCTCAGTTTGTGTGTGTCAACGATGAATCTTCCATGCAAACCAAAGTTAGCCATGGAGTGCCACAGGGCTCAGTGCTTGGACCTATTTTGTTCACATTATATATGCTTCCGTTAGGCAATATTATAAGGAATCACTCTGTACATTTTCATTGCTATGCGGATGATACTCAACTATATTTATCAATCAAGCCTGATGAAACCAATCATCTATATACAATTCAAGACTGCCTCAAGGACTTAAAAACGTGGATGACCTTAAACTTTTTTATGTCAAACACGGCCAAAACTGAAGTTATTGTACTCGGCCCAAAGACTCTACGAAACAAACTATCTAAAGATATATTAACTATGGATGGCATTAATTTGGCCTCCAGTGAGACTGTAAGGCATCTTGGTGTTATATTTGATCAGGATTTATCCTTTGACGCCCACATAAAATCAATCTCAAGGACCGCCTTTTTTTCATCTACGTAACATTGCAAAAATCAGGCATATCTTGCCTCAAACGATGCAGAGAAACTAGTCCATGCATTTGTTACTTCTAGGCTGGATTATTGTAACTCTTTATTATCAGGGTGTACCAAGAAGTCAGTTAAGTTGCTTCAGCTGATTCAAAATGCTGCAGCACGTGTACTAACCAGAGTTCGGAAAAGGGACCACATTACTCCTGTTCTGGCTGCCTTACACTGGCTCCCTATAGAACACAGGATAGAATTTAAAATTCTTCTTCTCGCCTACAAAGCCCTTAATGGGCAGGCGCCATCTTACCTTAAAGAACTCATTATACCCTACTGTCCTATTAGGGCATTGTGTTCCAAGAATGCAGGGTTGTTGGTTGTTCCTAGAGTTTTTAAAAGTACAATGGGAGCCAGAGCCTTTTCTTATCAAGCTCCACTTTTGTGGAATCAGCTTCCAGTTTGTGTTCGGGCGGCAGACACCCTATCCGTTTTTAAGAGTGCGCTTAAGACCTTCCTTTTTGATAAAGCTTATAGTTAGGGCTGATTAGATTCAGCCCCTAGTTTTGCTGCTATAGGCTTAGACTGTCGGGGGACACCTTACTTCTTCCTTCTCTCTGTCTGTACCCCAAATTTCTTTTTGGTGTCTATCTACGCCGGGAGCCTGAGTCGTGGCTGATCCTGAGTCCTGAGTCCTGATCTTAGTCCTGGATTTCGAGTCGTGGCTGAACCTGTCACTGTGGTCCTGCCTGACTCTCATCATACTACTTCCCTGATGGCTCCCACAGGATTGTTGACATCCTCGTGGATTCATCTTCTTATTATAGACACATGCATTTCCAAACATTTGGTCTACCTATGTTGTAAATGTATTATCTTTTCGATTTACACACGGCATCTATTGCACGTCTGTCCGTCCTGGGAGAGGGATCCCTCCTCTGTTGCTCTCCCTGAGGTTTCTCCCATTTTCCCCTTTAAACTGGGGGGTCTTTCCTTCTTTGGAAGTTTTTCCTTGTACAATGTGAGGGTCTAAGGACAGAGGGTGTCGTATTATCATACTGATATTCTGTACAAACTGTGAAGTCTACTGAGACAAATGTAACATTTGTAATATTGGGCTATATAAATAAACATTGATTGATTGATTTTGTTAGTAGGACCATTCACCAAGTCTTTTGTTTCATTGTAAATAAATGTTCTGATACAAAGTGTGTTGATCTGTTTCTATTTAGTCTCAGACAGAAGTCCCAGAGTGGTATCAGCATCACCAGGCGTCCCTCTGCGTGCCAAGCCTCCGCTCCAGCCTCAGCTCCAGCCTCAGCTCCAGCCTCAGCTCCAGCCTCAGCTCCAGCCTCAGCTCCAGCCTCAGCTCCAGCCTCAGCTCCAGCTCCAGCCTCAGCTCCAGTGTCAGCTCCAGTTCCAGCCTCAGCTCCAGCCTCAGCGCCAGCCTCAGCTCCAGCCTCAGCTCCAGCTCCAGCCTCAGCTCCAGCTCCAGCCTCAGCTCCAGCTCCAGCCTCAGCTCCAGCTCCAGCCTCAGCTCCAGCCTCAGCTCCAGTCTCAGCTCCAGCCTCAGCTCCAGCCTCAGCTCCAGCCTCAGCTCCAGCCTCAGCTCCAGCCTCAGCTCCAGCCTCAGCTCCAGCCTCAGCTCCAGCTCCAGCCTCAGCTCCAGCCTCAGCTCCAGTCTCAGCTCCAGCCTCAGCTCCAGCCTCAGCTCCAGTCTCAGCTCCAGTCTCAGCTCCAGTCTCAGCTCCAGCCTCAGCTCCAGCCTCAGCTCCAGCCTCAGCTCCAGCCTCAGATCCAGCTCCAGCCTCAGCTCCAGCTCCACCCTCCTCTTCCTCAGCAGCAGCCTCCCTCCCCAGCATTGAGCCACCGGAGGAAAGAAAGGATGCGCCGCTCCAACAGTGACCCGGTGTTGATAGACATTGCTGCTAAAGGTTGGCTTTTTTTCTCATTTGGAATTACGCATCTTTGGAAGTTGGTATACAAATGTTGAAGGATTAACTTATTTATTAAGGACATCAGTAAGACATTTAATTCAACATCTTTACTGGAGGATTTACAGAAGTCCACCAACATTTATTCAGTATATAATCTAAAAGCTGCACCATAAATCAAATGACAAATAACAATATAAAGTTAAACCTTATTTATGCCAGATCAGCACAAACCCTTAATCTAATAAGGACAGCACTGAACACAGAGCTCTGTTTCTGCTCTTTGTCTGAACATCATGTTTTCTGTAGCTCAGTTATCAGAACTCTGGTCCAGGTAGCTTCAAGTGTTCCTGTCTGATGGGGGCCGGCCCCCCCGCGTTACCTGTATCAATATGTTTCTGAAAGATGGCGATTCCACTGTGGAAACCATGGATGAATAATGAAACTGGCAACATGTCCTCCACGATGTTTGCTGAGCCTATTTATCTGACATATCTGCTCCGTTTCCTCAGCCATTACATAATTACTGCTGAACCAACAGTAACGCGTTATATTACTGCGTTCCAGACTAATTACTCCGCGTTACTCCCAACACTTCCCAACATTGGTTACTGTATTTGGTCAAACTGAAATGGCCAAATATTGAATTGCAAGTGCCTACATATTGTTCACCACAATATTCACTGGGTGTCAAATATCCAGAGTGAACATTATGGGTCCAGGAATTCCCTTATTATATCCCATAAGTTGCTTAAGTTGGGTACCAGTACATGTATATTTGGAGAAGCTGACCTCTCCCCCCCTCATGTCTGCAGTGCTGAGCAGCAGCGACGCCCCCCCCGCTGCGTTTCCTGACACCACAGACTCCTCCACACAGACCTCCCAGCCCAAGCTGGCTGTCAGCACCCAGGGCCAGGTCACACTGCGGCGGGGCCACACCTACAGCAGGGCGCCCCGGAGACCACGGCCCTCCTCCATGGTGGACTACCAGAGCTACCGACACACACAGCAGTTGGTCAGGAGGATCCTGGAGCAGCCGGCCGCCCAGGGCCTGACCCCCGAGGTGCAGGAGCTGGTGGACAGCATCCGGACCGTCCTGGAGTCCGACCAGGAGCACATGGAGGAGGCGGTACGCTGCGCCAGCTACATAGAACAGGTAGGAGGGGAAGCCGCTTTATCCACCACGCTCCCAAACTGTGGAACACCCTACCTGGAAATATCAGAGAGGCCAACTCAGTGGACATGTTTAAACGACAGCTAAAGAGACATCTTTTTAGATTTGCTTTTTATTAGCGACACCCCACTTTATTGGTCTTTGAATCTTCATTATTTATTTATGTGTATATTGCTTTATTTATTTTTATAGATTTTATAGGTTTTTACTTGTATTTTTATTTTACAATTTTATTAGCGACATTCCCTTTTAAGTAGTTTTTTTTACCATAAATAAACAGTTATTACCAGATAACAGAAACCCTAGTCCTGACTATAACCTGGATGTCCTGAATAAAATCCTCTTTTTAATGTTCAGTGTGTGTTCAAACTGTTTTAAAAAGGACTTGATTTAAATGTTGGATACTTCAGGACAGGGGTACTCAAACTTTTTTATTAAAGGTCCAGTTGTGAACTTTATACAAGGTCACTGGTCCGGTAAAAGTAAAGTCCCCCCCCCCCCCCCCCCCCCATGCACTCTATGCATGGGGCCCCCTTGAGGGGGTTTCCCGACATGTCGTTGCAGTAAATTAAAGGGTGTTTCATGTTGTCGTTGCTGTGGACCTTCTTAATCTACCTTCTTTGGGGGCCCCCCTTCTGGTCCAAGCACTTGCCTGCCTTGCCTGCCTTGCCTGTCGGTAAACGGCGCCCCTGTATACACACACATACACATTCAATACATACATACGTATGTATGGTGGCTTGAACTAGTGGGAGAAATGGCACTGTTTGTCTGTAGTCAATGTCTTGAACCTCGGCAAAAAAGGCATTAGAAGCATTAGAAAGTCAAGGTAAACTTGCGGTTAACTTGCGGTCTGCTCTGCGTGTCACGCTCGCGCACACAAGTAAATATATATGCATGTTCATTCTCACAACGCGTCAAACACAAGACGCGCGTACATGATGATGTACATTAATTTATCAGAATCAGAATTCTTTTTTTAATTAATTTTTTTATAATCTTTTTTTTTTTTTAGAATGGGACACAGGGTTCAGTCCGGATTAATTTGCAGTTCGGTCCGGATCCGGACCTTGGTCCGGAGTTTGAGAAGCCCTGCTTTAGGAGGATGTAGTTTGTGCTGTTGTAGATCTCTGTATATTCTCTGTTTGCCTTCAGGTGTTCACAGACTCAGAGATGGGTCCCGGGCAGCCCAAACCTTCCCAGCAGGCAGCAGGCAGCCACTCTCAGACGTTCCCTCGCCCCCCCAGGAGAAGGGCCGGTCTGCTGCACCTGCAGAGCTGCGGCGACCTCAGCTCCTTCACCTGTGAGGCGATCGAGTCTGCAGAACATCGAGGAAGCAGAAGAGTGGGGTCCAAGGCAGGGTCCAGGGCAGGGTCCAGGGCAGGGTCCAGGGCAGGGTCCCGCCTGGAGCACCCTGAGCGCCCCCACAGTCTGATCGGAGTCTGCAGAGAGACGGTTCTCTAAAGGGGAACACCAAATGTATTCAAATATGTGGCAACACAGCTAGATGCTGCTTAATCTGTTGCTAAACTTTGAGAGAAAACTGTTGTAGTATAACCACTGAGGAGGATCTGCAGGGGTGTCTGCAAGTGTGTGTGTGTGTGTGTGTGTGTGTGTGTGTGTGTGTGTGTGTGTGTGTGTGTGTGTGTGTGTGTGTGTGTGTGTGAGAGCGCGTGTGAGCATTTTAATCTTTTTTTTAAGTAGCTTTGCTGTACTGTACTTTAGCATTCAATGGTGTGTATGCTTTAAGGTTTTATCATTGTTATCATTTTGCATTTGTTCCTCTCAACTCATACAGCTATGTTGTTCACCATACAGTATATTATGTTGTTTTCTAATGGTCAGATGCAATGGGCTAAATATTTCAGATATTCTACTGATATTTACTAATATTTCAGAATTCAAACAAAAACATGTACGTTTTGAATTTTTTTACATATATTAGAAAATAGAACAAAGTGGTGATAACAGCTCAAAGATCTTGCTAATAATAATAATAATTATAAAACTATTTTAATACTTATTTATATACAGTACTATAATTATAAAAGGCTATAGACCAGGGACCCTCTGGCTATAGACCAAGGGACCCTCTGTCCCAGTTAACTTCACTGTGGCAGTTCCAGTGCAATTCATTGACTACGTTCCAAAACGTTAAAAACATTGAAGTGTGGGAACGCATGTGAAGCTTACGATGACAAAGATAAGCGTGTTTACAATGACTGTTTCTGTCCCTGTTATTTATTGGCAAGCAAAGTTAGAACATTGCAGATTGGAAATACAAATGTTGGTTGATTAATTTAGCTCTCATACTATTTCTCACATTCTCCATGTCACTGGATTGCACTGCTGTGTTCATCTTTGAAGCAGATTCTTGAGTGGGAGGGGTTTCCCCATCTTCACTCGTGGTTCAAACTGTGGGGAGAGGAGTTCTGAGGACATTGCCCACCTTTTCTGAATGGTAAATGTGAAGTTTCTGGCACACCACAAGGGCAAGCTGTCAAGCTAGGTCAGTGCACAGCGGGATTATGATGGAGGTCAGGCCACGTTCAGTATGCTCCTTCAGTTTGAGCTGACCGAGGAACGGCACTTCAGCCAATAAATTAAACTTGCTTTGTCAGTACCCTCAGTACAGTACACCTTCTATAAGCATACAGAGGGCCAGGGTGTTGTGTTATTCCTGTATGTGCCTTTTACTGACTGGACATTTCAGCTGTTGTCATGCATTTTATGAACATGTGCACATAGAGATCATTGTATATTAAACTTTATTAACACTGTCCTGATTCTATAAAGTCCCTAAGAGATCATGTTGCAATTGTTTTTCTTTCTGAATCACTTTGTGTTGCCTCGTATTCAGTTTATCATGCAATCATTTTTCGTTAGCTTACAACACAATCCCTCTGATACAGGTTTCAGCAGGGTACTACAACAGGAGCTACATGACTCTGTGCCGAGGAGGACCCTGCTGCTTCTAGCTATGTCTCCGGCTATTGCAGGGACTATGGTTGACGCCACGACCACAGAACCAGAAGGAGCCTGAATCATGGAACATTTCTGAAGAAGGCCTCGAGCACAGCTTTGTACGAGTGAGGAGGAAGTTCTTCATGCATTGTGCCCGGCCTATCTCCGCTGCTGCTGCTCATTTCTTCCCCACTGAAAAGTATTCTTGTACATTACATCTCTGCACCCATATTTCTCAGATGCCATTTTTAAAACAGCCTGGAGTTCTTCCTCATCACCAACTATGTGAGTCATGTGAAATGATGGTGCTGGATGCTGGAAGTATAACTCTGATTCCTCTGTCAATTTAGAACGCTCTGAGAGATAATTATTACAATAAACTACATTTACAATCAACAAATGATTACACATCCGCAGACATTGTGCCACTTTTCTCTTTCAATTTACATGCACAAAAAATGGTGAAACAGTTCATGTGAATACTTCTCTTTTGCAGTTGCCAGTTGGTCTCTTCATCTTTCTTGCTTGATTCTCAAGTTATGGTCATAAACACACGTATTGATACACATTTTGATCTGATAATGGTGCTTGAGGACTCATATACAGCTATAGTTTTATTGCATTTCAGCCTTAACCAAAGCAGTCGATTGACTGACCTGAGCAAATTTACAGAGATTATTGTATGCTTTGTTGAGGGGTTGGAGGTCAGTTTTGGATGCACTTTGGTAATAACCAGCATAATCGAAAAGTTTCCTAAAGCTTAAACAGATATTCATTTCTAAAGAACTATTTTGTGACTTTGAAATAATAGATTTGTTTCCATCAATGTACAGCTATGGGATCCCATCAGACTATATTCACAAGACCTGCTGAGGGAAGCATCACACCAAAATGCTCAAGTAAGAATTACACTTTTTACAACTCAGAATCGAATAAAATACTCATACATGTGTTCATGCAGTGCTAAATGATATTCCAGTCCAAGCCAAAGTGCTTCTGCAAGTCATTTATTGTTGTAAATACTGTTACAAACATTCTGGCTCTGGTACAGGAATGTAGCTCCATTAGCTAGAACATCACAGAAAAAAGCTAGCAAATAAATAAAACATTGCTGCTGCTTTACAGAAATTGTATTTTTCTTATATGTATATTTTTTGTAATCTTCCGACACATTGAGAGTTAATGTTTCAGTTACATTCAAAATGAGTGCACTTAAAAATACTTGTTAGCCAACCCTGCTGCCTGTGCTAGCTTCAAGTGCTTGTTTCCTCTGTTAGCTACATTGTGTCACGCTAGCCCGACAGTCCATGGAGGGAAAATATCGATCACACCTTACATTATCTTGTGCTCTAGCTTTATGTCTTTTAACATAATCAGTTTTGTACATTCCGTTCACATTGCTCTCTAATGAAGCTTGCCTTTAGGCCAAACAAACAAAACCATTAGAAGTATATACCTTTACATAGTTTTCTATATATTTACTTTATATGTGTATTTTATATATCCAGCTGGTTTTTGTTTGAACATGGAGTACATTGGTTTAAATCACACTACACACACACACTAGAAGTAAGAACAGTACAGTGTAATCTCTGTAAGTCCAGAAATGGCTGCCCTTGCCCCTATTCCTCTTCAGGGTCCGTTTTACCATCATAAAGAGTCCAGTAGTAGTAGTAAGGCCAAGATGAGCTTCATCAATGAGGTCATACATATGGAATAAGCAGTGGGTTTTAAAGTTCGAATATACAGTGGGGTACATGTGGTTGAGCCTTAAACTCGAGAGGGATGTAAACATTGTCGTCCAACAGTGGAAATAAAGCTGTTCAAAGCAAGACAGTTGGGCTGGTGTAGTCAGGTACATTCCCAGAGATGCAGAGGAGTAGGTTTTGAGTTGATAGCGCTTTAGGATGTGGAGGAAAAAAAGTACACTGATAAGATCGAAAAGATTGAAAGTCCAAATTGACTGGCCTTTAAAAAGTTCTTGTTTCCGAGTTGTTTATCACTTGGAACATTAGTTTTAACCTCAATGACTAACCCGCAATCCTTAGTAAACCTTAGGGTCCACCATTGTCCCGGCAGTGGCTCAGTCAGTAGGGGCTTGGACTGGGAGCTGTAGGGTCGCCGGTTCAAGTCCCCGACCAGAACTAACATATGGAGTGTGGACTGCTACTTGGAGAGGTCCCAGTTCACCTCCTGCCCTGCCGTGGTGCCCTTGAGCAAGGCACCGGACACCCCCCTTCCCCCCTCACTCCCATTGCTCCCCGGGCGCTGTACAATAGCTGCCCACTGCTCCTAGTACTAGACTCCTGGTACTAGGATGGGTTAAATGCAGAGGCCAAATGTCACTGTGTGTGCTGTGTGCTCTGCATGTGTGACCATTAAAGAGGGTTTCATCCCTCCCCAATTCTTCTAATTCTGAATTCTATTAGTCCACACCCACCCACGCCTCTCCCTCCCTGTAAAACCTCAATTTGGACTGGAGAGAGACAACAATAAGACATTCTTGGTGTGCTACATTTTAAAGGACAGTCTTATTGTAGTCAAGGGGATGTGTTCTGAGAGAATTCAATTTAAATGAATTCAGAAATTTGATTTGTATCTTATAAATAAATAAAAATTACATCTTACACGTTATTTCCTTTTTGAATTGAGTTAGTTTTAAATGGAGCACAATGGCTTTGCAACATTGTAAGAGGCTGCAATAACATGAACCATTTATTTTCCCTTTTTAAATAGTTTTTAAAGCTTAGTCTTTTGACACTAAATATGTTGTGATTATAATACATGTGCAGAACCTGAGCCACATGAACATTCGTAGCCAATGACAATCATCGTGTTAAATAGGTGGCATAGAAGGCAGTGTGAAAAATATTTTTTTGAGTCTGCTACTGTATATGTGAGTCGCAGACTGAGATTCACTTATATTTCAGGTTCATTATCCTGTTGGTTTATTACCTCCTGGAACATAACACAAATGATGTAGAGAACCCTCTTCTGTCAGTAAAGCCGTTTTAAAGGTGCTTATATCTGTTTCAGTTGTAACACAAATCCTTCTAATCACTGAAGAGTAACATATTTTACCCAGAAGACCGGCAGCAAAGACCTCCTCACTTTAGTCCCTTACCTTGTCTCATGTGATATCAGCACCTTTACTATGAAAAAGAACTTCAAATTGAAAAGCAGATAGTCAAGATCATCCACAGCATTTTGAAGACAACATGCCGGTATATCTATACTTAACCTGTTACCTTTATGCCACGTTCCACAGCTGAACCTTTGTTTTGAAATTCTAGTTTTAGGAAGCGGACACTGATTTCCAGTGATTTAAAATCGAATGGGATAAAACACCAGTTGAGTCATTTAAGAGGCACCACTTACATTTGAAAAAAATGCTATTGTACAGTCTCATTTTGTGTATTAATACAACATAAAAGTATCAAATTATCAGAGAACATTTAAATAAGGAAAAGGTAATGAAAATAATCATATTTCAAGTTAACAAAATAAAACATTGCACTTTGGATAAGCCGTGAACAGTCTGCAGTGCAGGAACAGAAAGTCTGTATTCCTTCAGGAACGTGAGGGAAACTACCGCATGCCATAATACTACGCATCTCATTGCCGTTAATACTTCAGGGATCTGTACTCTGCTGGGTTATAGGTATTCATAACTCAAAATATAATATGTCTCCCCCCCTCCTTCCTACTCTTTCTTCCCCTTAAACATGTCTTAATTTTTGTCCTTCATCACATTTAAAAGCAAATAAAAAAATGTCACGTTACACAGTTAAACTCATAATAGAAATAACACAAATTGGGTAATTAAACAGTGCTACATATAGAAAGCTGTACAGTATATGATGCTGATAAATGTCTCCCTGGCATTATTCATAATTATATGAATGGAAAGCGTATTAACAAAAACAATTCACTGTTTCTTATTTCCAATGTAATAAAGGCAGCATTTTGCTTGTCATTGTACATTCTCAAAGTACTGTTGGAGGCCATTCTCTCCCTCAAATGAATCAGGCCTTTCCTGAAGGAGGATTGTATTTTTTGTTATTAGTCTTATATTTCATCATCATATTTAGTTAAGAAGCCTTAAAGGTAGGGTAGGTAAGTTTGAGAAACCAGCTCGAGATACACTTTTTGTTATATTCCATGGAATGCTCTTAACATCCCGATAGCAATGAATATCTTAAGTGCTTTGACAAAAAATCCATAAAAAAATGTCATCTGTGGAAGCCGTAATACTGTAAAAAGCACGACCAATCATTTTAGCCGGCCCGGCTAAAATAACTGGATGGCCTACCTGCCTGTCAGCCTTCCATCTGTGCACAAACTTATCTCGTGCCCTCATTGGTCATGTGCGCGTTCGTGTGTGTTGGAGGAGGGGCTCTGTAAGGAAGTGGCAGATTTTCTCCGGTTATGTATTTTCAAATTCTAGCGATCTCGAGCTGGTTTCTCAAACTTACCTACCCCACCTTTAATATGTTCTTATCTGCTCCTCTTTTAATGTTCTGTCAATGCAGACTAAACCCTGATAAATGTGTTGCAAAATGTATATATTTGCAGTATTACAAACTGGGTATTTGCAGGATCTCGTGGGAAGTGAAATCTACAAAACACAGCTGCAGACACAGAGAGAGATCTTTGGGATTGAAACTTTCAGCTGCTGTCACTTACACGAAACACCTCCTGAACCCACAGTTAACATTAAAAACCTTGGCTAAAAACCGGTGGCTTAAAGGGAATAAAGCCATAAAATGTAGACTTTTAATGTGAAAACTGCAGCCAAGTTTCATAAGTAGTAGTTAACAAAAGAAAAAAAAGCAAGTAGAAGCCACTGGAATGATTTACTGAATAAGACTGTTGTTAGCAAGAGAAAGCGAAAGTCAGTGACATGATGCCATGACTGTTGTTGAGCTGCGGAATAATAATTAGGGGCCAGCCTTTGTTTGTTGGTGCCATACTCGCCTATAGCTAGATCATTTAAAGTGGCTTGTATGCACTACGAGCAGTGTCCTGTGTACAGAGATCAGTGAGGAAACAGACTATACACATGTACAGCATGCAGTTGAGTGCTTTGTGCATCCACATACAATGGCATGACGTAGTCCAGAGCACACTCCATTACCTACCTATTACTACATTATCAAACCAGCAATGAATAAATCAGAGAGGCCAAATTATAAAGGCTTAATTTCCTGGAACTGTTTGCGTTCAAAAGAGAGGTGCAGGAATGAGCTACAAAACCCAAAAATTAGTTAGTTAATTATTTTACCATTTCCGGTCCTGTTTCTTTGTAAATGCTTTGGTTAGAAGCCTGAAATAAGGTCTATGGTTAACACAAGCTTACAAGATGTGACATAAAATATGTCAGTAAAAAACCCTCTGGTGAATGTCCAGAGTCTAAATAAGACTGCTTAACATCATTAGCCAAACATTAGCCACCTTGCTTAATGTTTGGCTCAGTCATGTGACCCTGATGTAGTCCGTTTATAGCATTATGTTCGTTGTTTACTTCTGGGGATTGCATTTTGGCTTCAAACATAAGAAAAGTGGTGTTCAGATTTGGAGATTACCCTGCTGAACAAAAGGTGAAAGTATCATGAACATGTGTTTACCAACGCACATTTTAATCCAAAATCCCATCGTTTTTTTTCTAACTTCAGAGTCGGCCAACAAAAGTACATCACGCTCTATAGAATAGGCAGAGTTTTTCTTTTTAAGGTTTTAGGGGAGTGAAGCGATAGAACTTCATACAGTATATGGTTCACTTTGTTTGAGAAAAACCGCCTGGGATTATTTCGAATCATTCCATCCCTGTCTTGTGCCAACACCTTGACACAGGGACATGGTGGTGCAGGTGTGATGTTACGCCCCCATGTTTGCACAGCATTACTTTAGTTGGTGTTGTCACATGCTGACGGAGCTACAGCTTGTGCTCTGTACAGAGGATACAAAAATGTAATAAATGATCAGCCAACACTGACCGTGACAATGGAGTCAGAAATGTATCTGTTGGAAATGTGCAGCGTCAACTCTTCCAAAGCAGCGGACATATGGAATGTGCCAAGGGGAAGTGTGTGCTCACACTCATCTGTCAGCATGGTTCACACTGAGTTACAGTAGCAGGCTCCAGCTTGGTCCCATGAAATGTAGCTAAAACATGGAAACTGAAGAAAAAACCTCACATCAATAATTTGGTGGAGGAACTACGTATATAAAGACACAGGCAGTGATCTGCCAATGAAATAGCAGCATGGCAGAAAGGACAGTCAGGGTTAGATGTGCAGATTGCTCATTAAATATAAGGTGTATAGTGTGAGAGAAGTTCTAATGTTTCTGATTAAACAATGACCATATAGTTAAAAGTTGCCTAAACTGAACATTAGAGATGCACTGAGGAACTGCTCCCAAGTTTGAAAGTGTGAAATGTGTTGAGGATTGCGGGGCACTACTAGGCGCAGAAATTGCAACAGGTGTAAACATCTTTCACCGTTTGTACATTTAGCCAAAGTAAGAAAACAAATCTTTTAGTGACGACAGATACTCTGGGTTTCTATGTTGTCACTTGAAGATGAGGCAGAGCAACAGAACAATCCCACTAACAACTCACTACAGTCCACCAGCTGGGACCAGAAGGGTGCAGGGTGAGCGCCGGAAAGGGGGGGGGGGGAGTTAGAGGTGTGTGAGGTCAGGGCTGGGTCTTCTTAGATGTAAACAGGCTGCTCCTGGGCGGTCAGCAGGCGGTACATGGCTGCAGGCATTGTCTTCATGTGGATCTGAGACAGTCAAAAACAGAGCAAAGCATTTCATTGATGGACTTATTGAAGGTAAATGCCTTTGAATGTCAAGTGCCAAAGGGTAGCAGTCATTGCCATCCCAGACATCCCCAAGTTTAAGAAAAAACACAGTCACGGTGAAACTAATTGTGTCATACTAAGCACAATTTAAGAGGCCTTATTCTGCTTTTTGGCGGGTCTCCCTCTCCTATAGTGTGTTATATAGGTTTATGTGCAGGTACATGGCTGCAAAGGCTACAATCCCTGTGTTCCCTCCAACTCCTCCATTGGACTCACTATGAAACACTTCTATTGGCTAGCGCTCCAACACATTGTACGTGATAGGCTAAAGGGCGGAACATGCAGTTGACTAATCACAACAGAGCCGACCAGCTAACCAATCAGAGCAGACTGGGCTCTGGTTTCAGACAGAGGGTGAAAAGAGCTGCTGCAGCACAGGCAGTATGAGAAAAAGAAAGAGCTTTTTGAACATTAAAGCCTGGAGACATGTAGAGACACTACTTACTGATATACACCTGAAAGTGAGAAGAATATGGCCCCTTTAAATAAAACGTATGAACTCTACACTGGAAGGTCAGGTTGGTGATTTAAAGCTCGCAATAAGTGTTGTGCTGCTTACACTGGGTGCACTGGCATTCACCTTTGGGTGTCATGTATCTGCTGCTGCTGTTTATAACCGAGCACACAGCGAGATGCAGCCCGTCCGGAGACATCTGATGCTTCTGCTCAGCAACCCAGCTCTGTCACTCCCTGCTAATAACTCTCATAATTATATGGCCAAGCCGAAGTCATGTGATATTTTTAACCCTTAGTTCTTTCAAGTGTTAGGTGGCAGAAGCGCTTTGGTTACCAGTGGTGTAAATGTACTCAAGTCATGAACTTAATTACTATTGTGACATACTTTTACTCTACTTGATTATTTCAATTTTCTCATATTTTATACTTCCATGCCACTACAATTAAGAAGAAAATACCATACTTTTTACACAACTCCACATAATCAACACATACATAAGACTTAGTTACACCTGAAATAAGTTCACAAGCTACCCTGCAGTATACAGTCATTTACTTAGCTCCCGCTCACCAGCTGCAGCAAACACAATAATTCATCAGTAAATATAATCCAAAAACATGATATATATCTTTCCGACCTCTGCATAGTGAGTATTTGTACGTTGGTAAGTCATGTTTAATGCTAATGGTTTTGTACTTTTACTTGAGTAACATATTGAATGCAGGTCACTTACTTGTAAAAGAGTATTTCGGTATTCCTATACTATAGTATTGCTACTTTGACATATAAGTACAACAACTGAGTACATCCTCCACTTCTGTGTGTAACTATGTTCTTGAATAAGTCTGGTAGAGGATCTATAGCTCAGTGTTGGTGATGTCAGAATGCAGAGGGACGTCTCACCTCTCCCACAGCGTTGGACAGGATGTGGACGATCTTCTCATGGGGCGTGGCCACCACGCTCTGGCTGTTGATCTCGATGATGCGGTGTCCCACTCTGACCCCGCCCCTTTCAGCGATGCCCCCACGCATAAGGCTACAGATCTGTTTATCGACAGATGAGTTAATTTAGATCACAAATAAAAAAGTGATTTAACAGAATACAGACACAGTTCAGTATCACCCACAATGCCGTTCTGGACGCTGAACCCCAGCTGGTAGCGCAGGTCTGGCCGTCTGATGAGCACAGTGGTCACTGGGGGACATCTGACGATGTTCAGCTTGATCCCAGACTGGTTTTTCAGACCCTACATAAAGAAATGCACATGGTATCAGCGAAACATCACAGGGTTCACATCACTGCAAACACAGATCAGATGCCAGCAGCAGAACAGAAAGACAGAAGCTACAGTTCACAGGACGAAACCAAATATATTTCCACAGACCCTCATGTTAAAGTGCCAAACCTCACAGCAGAATAAAACATTTTTTGTTTGGGACAAAAAAGTCTGAACGTGTTTTTTCTCTTTCTCAAAATGTTAATTTCTCCTTAATTAATAAATATCTGGACAAAGTAGTTGCCAGGCAACAACTTGAGGTCTTTGATAACACTTGAAAAGTTTGAATCTAGCTTTCATCAGCATTAGTACTCAATTATTATTTATTTAACAATCACCCTCAGCACTTGACGCAGTAAACAATTGCATTGTGTTTGGCAGGGGGATATTATGAGTCAAAATTGTCTATTTATATTTCAAAGGAAATTGGTCGATGATAGCTTTGCAGTGCCCCCATTTCATAAAAAATGTTCTCTATTTATATATATATATATATATATATTCTCGCTGGCAATATACTGAATTTTTTGCCATGGCATGTCGTTTAATGTATCTCTACTTTTTTGATTAAATAAAGCCAAAACTGCATCCAACTAAACCTAATGAGCTTCAGTAATCTGATTATTACCCGTCCCCTTGTGTGTTATGAAGGTTTTTATGCATGTAAACGGTCTGCAGAGTCAAAAACCCTCAAAGTACACCCTGTAGCGAGTAAAACTCTAACACAGAAAAGACCTGTCTATGCTGCCCCAGAACGCCTCGTTGGACATTTCTCTTTTTCCATTGTTTGCTTCCTGGGTTCTGTGACGTGTGAACACCCAAATCAACAACAAATGACAGGATTGGCCCAAATGGACCAATCCGCGGAGGACCTCACACACCAGGATCCCTTGGCTAACTAACAGGGAGTCCCCATTGACTTGCATAGAGCTCCCTGAACGCTGGTAATAGACGAGTTGGGATTGTGGAGAAATGCTCTCCGCAGACCCATTCTCACAGCGTTATAAACCTTTTTCTTACTCAATATCAAGCCACACTTATTGTTTTTACTTCGGCTATGAGTGTTTGTGTGTGTTCAGGATGAGTTTCGCTTGTTCTAGCTGTATCGCCGACCCGGAAATCTGTCCGCTCCTCGCAGCAGCTCGCAGCAACGAGCCTCGCAACGAGCCTCGCAATGAGCCTCGCAACGAGCCTCGCAACGAGCCTCGCAACGAGCCTCGCAACGAGCCTCGCAACGTCCCGACCAATCAGAGCACATTGGGCTCACAGGGAGGGGGGGCAGGAGCTCCAACAAGCCGTTTAGGACAGAGAGTGAATACCTGGTGAATACACATACTATACAGAGATGCTGTATGAGAAACCAATAGCCGCGTTCACACCGGAGTACTTTTCCCCGTACTTTTCGCGTTTAGTTCCGTTAGTACCACTTATGTCGCGTTCACACCAAAAAGAGTACTGAGTGCCGGGAACTTTTACCCCCATTTTTAGTGCCTGCTGAGAGATGGTACTTTCCTGGGGGAAAAAAGTGCCCCAGTTCTGATTGGCTGGGCGAATTGCAAACCACGCCCCGTAAAACTCTGAAATGTTTTGTAGAGCCGCCATTTTATTATCCTCGCATTAGCATTATTAGCATTAGCATTCGCCCCGCGCACAAACGCAGAGAGACTAACTTATGGCAACACAAAATAAAACATGGGAGCGGTGGAGATGAGGAGGTGTCGGCGTTCTGGCGATTTACTCGGAAGGCTTCAGTAGAAGCTGCTGGGAGTCTTCCCAGCAGCTTCTACTGAAGCCAGTCCCCAACTCCGTGGACTTCCGGCCGGGGACTCCGGGTGGCAGTATACGCCGTGAAGTTGTTTGCGGCCTGCCAGTAAACCCAAAGCAGAAGAAGACGAAGTGACGTCAGCGGCTCATTTGCGTAATCTTCCCTCAGGGAACTTATTCCGGTGTGAACGCGATCTGTACTAAGTGCCCTGGGGTAATAAGTGCCGGGGCACTAATGGCACTACAGCGCGGAGCACGGTTTAAGAGGGCTGTGACGTCAGCGGCCCGTCTTTGGTTGCGTTTCCACTTGGCCTAGTACCGGCCGGCGGGTCCTAATTCACAGTTTTTCTGGCCTCATAAAATCGTGGGTCTAGGGCCAGAGACAACGAGGCTGAGTCGGGCTGAGTATGCTAAACTAGAGAGAGCATCGCTGGCAAGGGGGCTACAACTACAACAAGATGGACATATTTGACCGTGATTTAATTGTAATACACGTTTCAAAATGATGCCGAAGTAACAACATACTGATACCGGTTAGTAAAAACCATGAATTAATGCTTTGTCAAGTCTGCAGACAGACGGCAGGCGAAAAACCTTTTAAAATGCGTGTTTTCTAAATGGAGATTGGCTAAGCTAACGCAGTATATGCTCCGACCGTCCACACTCACAACAACGGCGTATACAGACATAAATAAAGCAGCGACTGTATTCGCCATGACACAGGCAGTCTGTGGTTTGTACTTGTTTAACTTTTGTCTAGTTTCGGAACATATATGAGGAGCTGTGAGCTCTGAGTGCTAACAGCTAACGGCTGTGTTGTTTTTCTGGGGTTCTCATTGAAGATGACGTCACGGCTCCGCCTACACTGCGTTACTATAGATCAGGGGTAGCCAACACGGTGCCCGCGGGCACTTGGTCGCCCGCAGAGGCAACGTGAGTCGCCCGCGGGGCATGTTCTAAAAATAGCTCGCCAAGCAAATCCAAAATGTATAAAATACACAAAACAAAAAAGGAAATCTACCCTATGCATAAACGAAACCTAAATCATAGCGAACTCTATCTACTTACTACAACTCTATATCTATCTAACACCCCTCCTCCCCCCACCCCCAAAATTAATATCTACCAATCACGTTCTTGCTTGATTTGCGGGACCAGCGTTGCAGTCTGGAAGAAAAGCAATGTGGCACCTCCCCGCTGATTTTCCTTCTGGCAGAATCTACACCACACATCAGCCCCATTGAACAGCCTATCATGCAGCCTATACACACATGGGGGGGCAGAGTTTTACTCTGTGTGTTGCAACTTGCATATCTTTATTGCACTTGACGCACACACACGCATGGCGTAATTTCCACCTGGGACAGGGGGAAATGTCCCCCCCACTTTTCGAAATCCCGTTTGTGTCCCCCCACTTTAAAAATATGTTTATTTTTTTTTTTTAACGCAAGCCGTCGATCGCCACGGTGGAGCTCACAGCCTCTGTGAGCGAGCGAGACAGAGCGAGCGAGAGAGCTAGGGAGGGAGAGGGGGAGAGAGAGGGGGAGAGAGAGAGCGAGAGAGCTGGGGGGGAGGGGAGGGAGAGAGAGAGAGCTAGGGAGAGCATACCTTTATCTATTTAATATAGATAAAGTAAGAAATCATTCCAATGTGTACTATAGGACAGTAAAAAAAAATCAAAAAACTGTTTGAAAGGGGAGTGATTAGTAAAATAAGCATACATAAAAAAAAAAAATGCTAACTAGGTAACATAAGATAAGAATAAACCAGTTGAAATGATTTGTTATTGGTTGTGATCATATTCTAAAGATGTTTGGATTATTGAAAAGTATACAGCTCCCTTTCATCTGAGTGTTGAGAGCTGTATCCATCAATTCATGTTGTGCTCAAAGTGCACCAGATTGATGCATTTCACTTCAACATTAAAAAATAATCTTCCTGGGGGTGCATGCCCCCCGACCCCCCTAGAGGAGGTGAGGACCCCCCTGGAGGAGGTGAGGCCCGTCCACCCCCAAATAAAGCAGGTTAAAATAATTAGATTGCATACATGTTCTTTTAGTAAACACTGAAAATGGGTCCCACAGACACAAACAGCAAACAAAGGTTAAAGGTCAGCATATCATAATGTTAAAATGTGCTAAATATATACACTGCAAAAAAAGAAAAGAAAAGAGGAGTAAAAGTAGCCCCCGACTTGTTTTATTTTTTAAAAGTAGCCCTCACCCTAAAAAAGGTTGGTGACCCCTGCTATAGATACTACCCCAGTTCCTAAACTGTAATGGAAATGCGCCATAAAGTGAGCCAGTCCTAACGAGGCCTAGTCATACCGAGCGAGGCCGAGCGAGGCCGTGTAGTGGAAACACGCCATAAGTGCCGGCACTAAGTACAGCAAAGTACTTGGTGTGAACGCGGCTAATGTGATTTTGGAAAATTGCACAATTTAAATCTATTCTAGTAGACCTCAACAATGGAAATATGATCAGTAGAAATGGCCATGACATGGGACCTTTAAGTTAAATTGTGTTTTGTGGAAACACAACCAGGCTGGAGGTCCAGTGCAGGTGTAGAAGGGCCATAAATACCTTGATGATGCTCTGGCAGGTGGACAGTGGCAGTCCCACCAGACTGGTCCCATTAAGGGACATGATCTGGTCTCCTATGTTCAGTTTGCCAGACCTCTCAGCCGGCCCAGCATGCATCATGTTGGCGATGATGACGGTGGGCAGGATGGAGCCCCACCCACTCTCCACAATGACCACACCCAGAATCTCCCCCTTTGCTTTCTCTACGAACACCTGAGGAAACAAAACCGCAAAACCATTTGAAGTTAGAATGAAATAAATGATGACTATTCACCGCAAAACATTTGCCCACATCATAATGCAGCAATATCAAATAGTTTAGTGTAAGAGGTTACTTTATTCAGGATTAGGGAGTAATAAATTACATTATGTAATCAGATTACAAAAAAGGTACCTGTATTCCCTCAAAATTACATAAAAAATACGTAATCAGATTACTGTTACATTTCTAATGATTAGGGATCACTATAGCAGGATTACAATGTTACCTAAAAAGATCATATAGTGTTTGTTGTAAGGATCAGATGTGATCTCTTCTCTGCTAGCTGTACTGTTCTGTAGGATAATACTTTAAGTGTGAATCTAATCTATACGCCTACTGCCTGAATCTGCTTTATGGTTTTCACTTTCTTTGCTTCATTTGTTCTGTTCTTAATTCAGCAGGTGAACCTATATGTTCATAAAATAGTGTGTGTGAAATTAACTGTGTGTATTAAACTAAAACGGAGCATTTTCTGTCAGCTCAGATTTGATTTCTGCTTTTTTAAACTGTAGTATGTGCTCATGTGTTTCAGTGTTGGTGTATAGGCTGCTGGCTGAATATGCTGAGTGACAGGTTTTCCTATAAATAAAGGTAAAGAGGTAAGAATTCATTTCTCTTGTACTTATTTGCATTGCATTTGATATGCAGGTATCCAAAAGTAACAGAAAGTAATTAGGTGACATTTATTTTAGATTTAGATTTGTGTACAGAATACATTTTTTAGGTAATACTCCCAATCTTGATTTGATTGTTTTCACGGTGCTCAGAACTGTGACATGTAACAAGTGACATGTAATAATAACTGTCAATCACTACAGTGATGTCGAGATTCATCTATGTTAAGCTTTGAAGCTTTCATGAATCTGGTTTGTAAAAGGCTTCATTTCCTCAAGGCTTTTTTTGCTCTCAAAACCTCTTATGGTGAGAGGCTGTAAAACAGGCAGATATGACTTCTCATCAATAAGGTTATTGATAGACTGAATTCCTGATGAGTTAAGGCTTGGGAAGAATCTCTCGTCGTGTCTGTTCTGTGGCTGGATTGCTACACTTGGGAAATATAATTTTGTCCGATAGTTTTATTAACAACCACGAAAAGTAAGAACTCCAACTATCGATGTCCTCTGTTGCGCTCAAGCCTGTTTGTGATTATGTTCCAGAACACATTCAGTGTTATAGACCGATCTGGGCACTATGAACCAGTGGCATTGGTAAAGGAAGTGATGTAAGACTGATGAGGCAGCAGTACAAGTGTTTGCTTGATACACAGCCCTACTCACGTCTTTGCAGTTCTCAGACTTAGAGAAGTGGATGAGGTCATCATTGTACATGTCCTGAGTGTTGAGCAGATCGCTGTACTCCTTCTGGCTCAGGTCCTCCGGGTTAATACCATTTGCCCGTAAGAATTCCTGGTAAGCCACACTGAAGGACTGCCCAATGGACTGGGCGATCAGCTGGGCCTAGAGGGGAAGAGGATTGTGGGGGAGACGGTTTTACATCATGTATACAATCTGTTATGGTCAACTCAACTTATACAAGCAAATACATGAAAGTACTCTGCTGCTGGACTCACATCCTCGGACTCAAACACATGGCATATCATCTTGTACTGCCGCTTGCTCTCTTGCCCTGGATCTGAGGCCTCCACGTTCTCCTGAGAGTCGGGTCGAGGCATCCTGCGCCGAGCCATCAGAACCACGATGTTACCAATGTCAGCAATGTAGGAGATGGTCCTCAAAGGGTGGTCCATCATGGTCTCCTGGAAGTCAGAGAGCCAGAACAGTCTCAGTGAAACTACTCAAGGACATGGTTATACAAACGTATAAAGGTCCATATTGATGGTTGTTTAGAGTGTTTAAGTGATTAAGTATTTTTGTAGGCTAACCCGGAAGTTAGCGTCGCAATGGGTTCCATTGGATTTCGAAAGATCTCATGTTTACTATACTTACACGTTTTGTTCAGCATTATAATCTTCAAATTTGAACACCACTGATTTCTGAATTTGTTTTGAAAAGATCTCTAATAGACGTTGTTTCCTCGATGCTTCAAAACAGCTTCATATCTTACAGTTCTTTCACTCATCTTTCTTCTGTTTTTCAGTGTTTTCTAATCTAGAAAGCACTGAAAAACATTTTAGCTTAACGTTTGATTTTGAACGTTAAGCTAAAAGAGAACTTCATCACAGTTGTCTGTCATAACCACCGCAATACTTAACGCGGCTAATAGTGATGTGTCGGTCGCGAACGAGCCGATTCTTTTGAACGGCTCTTTGGTACGAACGAGGGGAACCGAGTCCTACTTGGTGAGAGCCGTTCTTGTTATCGTTCAATCGTTGGTCCGCACGGTCCGCACTCACTGCCTGCCAAAATCCACTCGCCTTTTAAAAAGCTTGATTTTGTTCCCCAAACGTATTCTGTGAAGATCCGCCACTACTCTGATTGGTAGGTTTCAGCACGAGGAGTGAGATGGGGTGGGTCTTAACGGAATACGCGCGAGAGAGAAATCATAACAAGTGGTACAGGACAGGGAGACGACGTGTTTTTCGGATGGAAAATGAGCCAAACGCGAAAACGCAGCAGCATTTGGATGCACTTCAACCAAAACCCAGGCAGTGATAAAGCGCACCATTTGTAAAGGCAAAAATATCCTTTAAAGCAGGGTCAACAAATAATCTCCATCGCCACTTAAAAACACAGTATCTAATATTAAGAGTTGCATGAATTTCATTCAAGGCAAGGCAACTTTATTTACTTAACACATACAGAGGGTAAATTCAAAGTACATTCACTGACATGAATGACATGGATATGGCGCCACCTTGTGTCATGTTTACAATGCCGATTATTGACATTCGGTCTGGCAATCATTATCCTGGTGATTATTTTGCAGATAAACCTAGTAACCTTAAAAAAACGGCTCTTTTGAACGGCTCTTTTGAACGGCTCTTTGAAAGGAACGGAGCCATAAGATCCGGCTCCCTTCAAAGAGCCATAATTCCCATCACTAGCGGCTAATGTTCAGCATGACGATGTCAAGTTGTCTCATTCAGCCACATGTTAGCAACCCCGTATTAAGACAGGTACATGCTTCAAACATTCACAAGTGGTAGAGCTTTAGGTTTTTAGGACTCATTCCTGCACCACTCCAATATTGTACTCAATCTTGACTCAATTGTTAAGACTTTTAAAAAACTTTTTAAGCAGACATAAATTGCAGTTTAATACCTGTTTCACGGCCTATAATTATTAACCAAGTGAATGATCTTATTGACATTTCAAATGAAATTTCTCACACCTTTCCAGTTACACAAATTCCTATGACATAATAACTGTATTAATGTATATGACCTGGACATGAATAAGAAGCATTAATGGTTAATCAAATAATAAATTAACCATCAATTTAAGGTCAAGAGGATTGGCTAGATTCTGATCAAATCAGATACAAAAACATTTAAACATCAGTAATATTACTGCCGATGGAAGGCTATAAAAACCTGAGAGTACCTGAGAGTCAGCGTTGAGCACTTTGATTCTCTGGGTAGAAATAAAGAGATCCACCTCCGTCATGGGCTGAGGCTCTCCCTCAGGGGCCTACATACACACACACACACACACACACACACACACACACACACACACACACACACACACACACACACACACACACACACACACACACACACACACACACACACACACACACACACACACACACACACACACACACACACACACACACACACACACACACACACACACACACAGAGAGAACATATAGACAGAAACGTTCATGAGCAGATGTTCCTGAATGAACAGACGTCTAAAGTTAGAGGTCAGTAACGTGTTATTCCATCCAGAGCATGCACTGAAAAAAACTGAAACGTTGGCTTTATTTAAATGTATTCTGTCAACACATTTCACATAACTGTATTAGGATAGTTGAAAGCAACAATTTTAAGTTTAACCTAATAATTTATATTTAAACTTCATATTATTGATTTCAATACTCTATTAAGACAGTACACTATTAAGACAGTAATCTATCAGTGTGTTAAAAATAAGTAAAAGTACATGTTTTAGTGTTGAGCAAGAAATGCTTGAAATAAAGGGCACTTGTGTTTTACAACAGATCATTTCATAGTAAAACTAATACAGCATGCTGTGTGACTATTTTACAAACATTTCAACATGAACACTCCTTTTACCCAAAGTCACATGGCAGGTTCATGTGCCCTGAGTGCATTAGAGCATGGTCCTTTAATATGATAATACACGATGAACTGAAAGGTTAAAATTCAGACTTTTAACCAGACATGGCTGGAGGGAAAGTGGTGCTGTCTGTCTGCTACTGTGGTTCTGTCTAGAATATCTTAACACATTTTGGATGAATTGCTGTGAAATCTGCCAGACATTCATGGTCCCCAGTGGATGAATCCTATTGACCATGATTGTTTACCTAGCATCATCATCATCATCATCAGGTCAAACTCACAATGTCTCTCGGGGCTGCTTCTCTTATCATGACCAGGGTTGACATTAACCTTTAAAAAATCAGCATGCTATCATTGTCATTATGAGAATGCTGGACACTGAGCTTAAGGCCCAGCAGAGCCCCATTACAGCCACCAGCATAGCTTTCTTACATGTCAGGCCTCAGAGACAAACTAATGAGATTACTTGGCATTTTGACTCTAGGTGGGTTAGCAAACCATAGGTAATAGGTTATTATTTACGGTCATACATAGTAGCATTACAATTACAGAATCAGCAGGAGAGATAGAAAGCACACTTAACACAACCACAAAGCCAGCACAGTGTGAGAAAGATTACAGCTGTTTCCTGCATAGAGCACACTGTGAGGGAAGAGCTAGTGTTCCAAATTATGCGTGAACTGGAAGGGAATACAACATATGGAAGGGACTGGAGATTGAAGGAAGGGACAAAGCAGAGGCTGGAGTCAGAAAAAGGCCAACAATCCATGAGAGTGACAGACACACAGAGACAAAGAGCCAAGCAGAGGAAAAAGAGATGTAGGTACTGCACCTTCTTCTTGTTCTGGGCTAATTTCTGGGCCGTCTGCCAGGCATGGAATAAAGCAGAGAGGAGAGTGAAGGGTTAGAGCGAGCACAGTAGGACTGAGAGAATCACACAGAGGCAGGGACGGCATATATCACATTCTTTCAGCAGGTGTGTTTGGTGGTTGCTTTGGATTTGTGGAACTGCGTTATTGGAGCATCACAGAATCAGTCCCACCAATGGCAGAACTGAGGGTTTTGGGTAATCTTAAGGAGATGTATTAACCTTTTAAGACGGAAAGTAGATTATTTATTGTCAAATTTTCTGAAATTGAAAAGGCAGAAAACAGTAACACATTTTTGGATGAGATATTAAGCTTATATTTTAAATGGAAATGGTGGATTTGAATCAAACCCTCTTTATTTAACACTCACATAACACAGCTCACACAGTGACATTGTATCTCTGCATTTAACCCATCGTAGTACGAGGAGCAGTAGGCATCCATTGTACAGTGCCCAGGAGGTGAACTGGGACCTCTCTCTACCAGTCCACACTCCCTACTTTGGTCAGGGTTCTTTCTCTGTTCATACTGATACTGCATGCACTCATTAGAGTAGGAGCCTGGCCTCTTGCATAACCCTTTCTCCACCAGCAGGTGTCTCTGTTGTTTTGGCTCCAGAGCAGACTGAGAGGCTGACTCAGCACGTTTTGTACAGCAGTACATGACCACACATTTCAGATTTACATTCTCTAAGAGTGAAAAGCTGTACAACGAATATAATGATTGAATGGTTCATTTCTATACCGATTTGAATATACGATTCAAATGATCAGATGTCTTTACTTGGACTTTATAGTGATCGGTGTGAGTAGAGTAAACCATATTTTAGTTTAGGACTTGTTGGAAATAAGCTGATGTCCTACAAGAGGGGAACAATAATGCAACACAACATGAAGAAACAGTGCACATGTTGAGTGACACTGAGAGGGTGATTTTCCTTCTTTGCTGTTTTGGATTTTGTTGCTACTCGGAAATGTGCTTCTAATTTGACCTCTGCCCTTATGTATCAAGCACTATCATCAATCAGGAAACTATGATAACATTGAAATGTAGTTTTTAAAAGAACTGGAAAGAGTCGTGTCTCAGTCAATTATATTATTAAAGTCTATCTTATATGAAAGAACACAGTGGGTTGTTCAATATTAGGATAAAAATATTTTCGGATGTGAAATATGGAGTACCCCAGGGCTCTGTTCTTGGTCCTTTGTTTTTCTTTAAATGCCTTGCCAAATTAAACATAGTCATAGAACTAATATCCAGTGCTAAGCGGATGATACTCGGCTGTATGTGCCTGTAAAGGCAGATAAACATTTCCATACAAATATGTCTAAAAGTCACAACATTTCCTGCACCTAAACTCATGTAAAACATTCATGTTTATCATCGGCTCCTCTCCAAATAGACACCAGTTTAATCAAATAAAACTCGAGACAATTATGTGATTTCTCAAAGTCTCATAACATCTTAGAACAGTAATTTAACTGCAGTTAAATGAGCGTGGGTTTATATGTAGCTATATGTAGCTAAAGGAAAGATGCCTCACTCCATTGCAGTTGTTGGAGATACAGTCAGCTGTGGTATTACAGAGTGAAACATCTTTCCTCAGAAACTATCCTGAGGAGCAAAAAGTCACGTTCCGGCTGGTGGTCCTCAGACTGAATAATCTATAGAATTATGACACAGACTACAAAACAAGTCATAGTTAGGTAATATAGTTTATTTAACTGTTACAAAAACTAAAATGCAACAGTTTGACTTTTCTCTACACATAAGAGACTTGACTGTGCCTAGCAAACATAAAGTAAAGACCTGTGTGGGCATAAACTACAGGAGTGTGTGTGTGTGTGTGTGTGTGTGTGTGTGTGTGTGTGTGTGTGTGTGTGTGTGTGTGTGTGTGTGTGTGTGTGTGTGTGTGTGTGTGTGTGTGTGTGTGTGTGTGTGTGTGTGTGTGTGTGTGTGTGTGTGTGTTCACCTTGATGCGGCTGACCGCCTCCTGTGCCTGCATCATGCGGATGTTCTTGGACGGTGTCTTATCTGACAGCAGCTGGGTGGAGCCCAGGTAGTTGGCTGCGAAGATGATCCCATCGATCAGGTCCTCTGGGTCACATGGGCCTGGGACTGAAAGGGGGGGGGGGGTGAATGGTTGAATCTCCCTCTGAAACACTATGTTTCACCTCAAAAAGAAGGAGAAGCCATTTCACAAAATCATACTTGATTCCTATTACTGTAGCAATCTTCAGAGTTCATCTATCACGTCAGAGTTCATCTATCACATTTTTTATATAAAATGTAATCTTTTTAAACTGAATTGACATTGAGTCCTCTCCTTATCATCTACCAATATATCACTGTTTGAATATGTGTACAATCATATTTTACATGACGGATACAACCAGACCAGACCCTTTTGATAGCCTCTATGTCCTCTAGCATTGTTGTAGGGGTGCAATTTCTTAATAGCGTGTGTGTGTGTCTACCTTTCCTCACCGCCCCCCCCCCCCCCCCCCCCTTCCTCACCTGTCTCTCCCCTCTAAATCTCTATTGGCTCCTGAAGGCCCTAGCGTTAAGTAAATGCTAACACAGCGTTTCCAGCGGGCTTACTGTAGGTCAGCAGTGCAGGTCAATAACTGTGTATCACCAGAGTACAAACTAAACAGTCACAGTGTAGGCCAGGCAGAGGTTGTAAGGACATCCTCCATCACTGCTTCATGATTGCCATGTCGTTGTGCCTGTGACAACTAAAAGCTCTGTGAACCCAGCAATTACCATCACTGTTGATGGTGTGCAGAGGTGGAAGAAGTACTCAGATCTTGTACTTAAGTAAAAGTACAAGTACCAGAGTGTAGGATTTACTCTGTTACTAGTAAAAGTCCTGCAATCAAAATGTTACTCAAGTAAAAGTACAAAAGTAATAATAATAGCAACAGCATAACATCCTTAAAGTACTCATTGTGCAGATTGGTCTATTTCAGAATAATATATATGATATGTTTTATAATGATTGATCATGAAAGTGTTCTCAAAGCTGGTAAAGGTGCAGCTAGTTTGAATGACTTTGTATACTGCAGGGTAGCTTGTGAATTTACTCCAGGTGGAACTAAAGTCTGATTTAACACTTGATTAGATTTCACATCATTCATCCTAATCTGTAAAGTAACTAAAGGTATTAAATAAATGTACTGGAGTGAAAGTACACCATTTACCTCTGTATTGTAGTGGGGTAGAATTACAAAGTAGCATAAAATGTCCCTCAAAATTGTACTTATTAGTTACTTTACACCACTGATGGCATGTTAAATTGACTGCAAGTCTTCCATATTTTACCGTGTTGATTGTTTTATTTTCTTCCATACTTTTTTGTTAATAGTACTGCACTTTGGTTACTTCAAAATCTGTTTATTCATGTTTGTTTTTGGCATGTCTCAATCACTGGAGGAACTGCAGCCATTTTGACCTAATTTGTGGCTTAGGTATCCCAAGTTAATATCCTCAATAAACATAGTGACAAGCGGCAAAATCACTGAGATAAATTACAATAACTAACGTAGCATCTTTTTCAGATTTCCTCCAACTCTCACTCCACTGTTTGCAACAGAGATGAAGCACTCACCTTCCACATATGTGGGGAAAGATGCAAGGCTTCTCTTGGTCTATATTAAAAGGAGAGGAGAATGAATCAATCAAACATTAATACAACTTGATGTACAACAGTGAGAATTAGACAATATGTAAGAATGGGTTAACACCTCTTTACTGGAGGGAGAAGATTGGAAGCCGTCGTCCTGCAGCAGGAGTCTGCTGGAGGACTCTGCTCCTGGAGGAGAGGGCGAGTCTGAGCCTGGAGACTGGGGGGGGAGGGGCAAAAAGCACAATGCAACAGTAAGTTAAAGAGGACATATCCTGCTTATTTTCAGGTGTATATCAGTATTTAGTTCCCCTGTGACATGTCTCCATGGTTTCATGTTCAAAAAGCTCTTTATTGTTCTCATACTGCCTGTGCTGCACACTGTAAGACCGAACATTACAAGCCTCTGAAAGAAAATGGGTTGTTTTAACTCAAACATTTAAAAAAGTTAATTCACCGCTAATGTTCTGATGACTATGAACTGATTTTTAATATTGTGTATTGTATATTGATGACTCCAGGTTTCTGAGGCTGTGGCTTGTAAGCCAGCATAATAACTGTTTTGAATGTATGTGACAGATCATCAAAAAATATAGTTTATCTTGTTACATTGTTTCAGGAGCTCTATCGCAGGAAGACAATTATTTGAATTTTTATAATGAAAAAATTATAATAACTGATAGATTTAGTTTGAAAAAGTATGAACTGTCCTGGTGTCATCAAAGCTTGATTCTGTCACTGAGGTGTTGTTAATCAAACATTATCTCTTGTGTTGCTCACATCCCATTCAGGTTCCAAGATTTGAATATTGCCATAAGAATTGTAATTCTTGTAAGGTACACAATGGATATTGTTGACAGTTCTGCTGTTTAAGTGGCCGTGTCATACCTGACCTTTACCTCACCTACCTCTATTAAGCTTACCATTGATACAAAGATGCTAAATTGGCTGTGAATGGAAAGGATGTATGTTTCCATCTTGTTGTTTCAGGCATATGAAACCAGGCATGTGAAGCGAGACAGAACATCCTGAACTTTTGACCTATACACATTCACATTCTAGATGGTGCAATAAAAGCGTAGAAGTTCCAACTACCATTCAGAGAAGGCGCTTGTGGTTTTTGACACCTTGAGAGCGGTTACAGCGGGTATGAAGACAATGAGGCACAGGATGCAGGCGACCTACGCACAGATTCAAATCAACTTCCTGGGCCAGCGAATCGTAGAGACAAGCTGCCCATATGTGTCTCTGTTAATAAATGAAGTCTCTGTTAATGAATTAAAGTATAAAGTTTGCATATTTGAAATTGAAATGTTTAAAGAAAAGAATTTGATTCTAAAGACATGACATTGACAATGTGTTCTGCTTTCATGAAACATTTTCATATTCCCTCTCTTTAAAATTACATATCATTACTATAAGTTTGTATTTGTTTAATTTTTAAACCTTACATTTTTTAATGTTCAATAATTAAAAGTTGAACAGTTGTGACCTCCTTCTGACTGAAAGAGAGAAAGGGGGAGACAACCTGATGCAGAGAGGGAGGAGGAAGAAGACTATAAAGAAGGATGGAGAAGAAGGAACAAGGCTTTTTTGAAGCCCTGGGCCTGGGCTTGGGGTCTTTTGGACGGCTTGAGGAGAATAGACTTGTGAACCTGTTGCTATTGTATTTTGACTTGTTGTCTTTATTATTTTTTAAGGATTCTTTTTAATCCTCAATTTTTGTTAAAACCTTAATAAATCCGGTTTGTACTTTGTACACTTCGACCCAAACTCCTGGTCTCTCTCTCTCGTGGTCTCTGAAGGTATCTGCTTGGTCTTAGAGTGAGGTAAGAATACCCTTCCTTGGAAAAGGCTGACATTAGTTGATAATTTGGATTTAAATTGTTTAAGGGGAATAGAAACTCTGCTAAGGTTAAACTATAGTTTCACATTGGTTACTGTGGTTGAGGTGGTTTTGATGAATGTTGAAATATGACATATGCTCTGCTGATGTGGTAATGTCACTGCTGTGATATTAATGTTTGACTCTGGCTGTGTTTGATATTACATTTGCATTGTTTTGATTGATATATTTGGGGATCAAGAGAGGGTGGGGTTAGGGACTGTGGGTTCTGAAGCTGCCCTAATTACCAGGGAGTCTCCCATTAACAGAGGGATTCTCCTCCAGGGGCAGTTTTGATACTGCTCTGGGGTTCTATACCAGCCCACCAACACCTACTACACCATACACACCGTTTTGCTATCCTAGCGGTCGGACATCCGTGGCTGGAGTGCCAGAAATAGGGATACGACGGGCAGCGTGGTGTTAGAGGCCACGTTGTAAACTTCCCCCTAAGCAGATTACGTTGATCTTGCGTGTAGATTCTGGGGGGTTTTGAAGTCCTAAAAAGATTGGACGGCCGTTCACCGGAGCCTTATCAGCACCGGAGTTCGGTATCGGAGACGGCCTAGGTATTAACATTTGTTTGTTGTATCGAAGTTAGATTCCTTTTCAATATGTTGAATATAATCTCCCTTTACTTTAGGATTTCTTTGAAATTAAGCTCTTTAGGTTTCAGTGTAAAAAATGGGCTCACGTGATTTAATAAAATACACAATCAAGAGAGGGCTTTCTTTCCTGCAGCATCAGTGTTCAATACACGGGCAGTCTGTTAGGTAAGCTAGATTTTGTCCGCATTTGGGCAAGCTCGACTGACGCTGACGTCATTGTGTTATCAGAAACATGGCTAAATAAAACTATTTTGGCCTCTGACATATCCTTAAATGGCTATAATGTGTATCGTACCGACCGGCCTAATAAAGGTGGTGGAGTTGCCATTTATGTTAAGAATAAGTTCAGTGTAACCACATTGATCTCCAAATCTGTCAATAAGCAATTCGAATTTTTAGCCTTAAATATAGAAGTGGCAAAGGGGCAACAAGTCATGGTGGTAGGGTGTTACAGACCCCCCTCAGCTGTCAAGGACTCCTTGTCTTCACTAGCAACACTTTTATCACAATTAGACTACAAGGAAATAGTGCTACTTGGAGATTTTAACTGGGACTGGTTAACTGCAGTATCAGAGGATTTTAAAAACCTTTGTATCTCTTTGAATGTTACTCAGATTGTAGATAGTCCTACTCGCCCTAACGTTAAGTCCCCTAATAAATCCTCCCTAATTGATCTCATTCTAACTAATGTTCCCTATAAATACTCATCTGTGGGAGTATTTGCAAATGATGTGAGTGACCACTGTGCTGTAGCCACTGCATGGTCTTATTTTTATCTTGGTTTTATGGAGATCATTGATAGACATGCACCCCTACGTACTTTTAGAGTAAAGGGACGAGACAATCCTTGGTTTTCTGCTGAACTGTCCAGTCTCCTACATGAGAGAAACAAGGCCTGGGCAAAGGCTAGGAAATCAGACTCAGAGGTTGAATGGCTGCGTTTTAGGCAACTAAGGAATAGCTTCACTTCACATGTCAAAAATGCTAAGTCGAAGTACTATTTGTCAGTTACTACAGAAAACCTAAATAATCCTAGGAAATTTTGGAAAGCCATAAAATCGATATCCTCCGGTGAGATCCGAAATGAGCTACCTCCGTGCATTACCACAGCATCTGGCTCTATATCGGACAGGGCTACTATGTTAAATTGTTTTAATGAGCATTTTGTGTCCTGTGGCTCTCTGTTTGATTCTGTGACTAACTCTGCTTCTGTGAACACCACAGTCTGTGACTCTGAACAATGTGGTCTGGAAAACCCTTTCAGTTTTACTCCTTTTATTGTTGATGTTGTTCGTGAAGCTTTAACCAAGTTAGATCCTAAGAAACCGGCCGGCCCGGACAACGTGGAACCTTTCTTTTTAAAGATAGCTGCAGATTTTATTGCTCCACCTCTCACTACTCTTTTTAACCTCTCCCTCAGCACAAACACAATTCCAAAACTGTGGAAGTCAGCGTATGTCCTGCCTTTGCTGAAAGGAGGGGAGGCAACTATTTTAAATAATTATAGGCCCATCTCTAAATTGTCAGTTCTGGCTAAGGTTCTTGAACGCCTAGTGAGTGAACAGGTAAAGGTGTTTTTATGGACAAATGACATCCTGTCAAAACATCAGTCAGGCTTCAGAAAGCAACATAGCACCATCACTGCCACAATGAAAGTGGTGAATGACATTACAAGTATTTTAGATAAAAAGCAGAGTTGTGCAGCTCTGTTTATTGACCTTTCCAAAGCGTTTGATACCGTCGATCATCGCATCTTAAAGCAGAGGCTACTCAGTATTGGCTTATCCAGCCATGCAGTGGGGTGGTTTGTGAACTACCTCTCTGAAAGGTCCCAATGTGTTCACTTTGATGGGCTGTCTTCTGAGTGGTTGAACATTGCTAATGGTGTTCCTCAAGGTTCTGTTTTAGGTCCACTTTTATTCTCCATATACATCAATAGTTTAGGTGAAAATGTGGATGAAGCTACTTTGCATTTTTATGCGGATGACACCGTGATGTACTGTGCAGGTCCCTCCATTAAGGAGGCTGGCGTTAAATTACAGGCTGTTTTTAACATTATTCAGACTCAGCTCTCTGAACTAAAGCTTCTTTTAAATGTTGAGAAAACCAAGGTAATGCTCTTTTCTAAAGCTAAAAAGACTCCAGAGACTGCTTTGGATATTTTGACTATGCAAGGACAAGTACTCCAAGTGGTTAGCTGTTACAAATACCTTGGTATCTGGCTTGATGATTGTCTTACTTTTAAACTTCACGTCACTAATCTGCTTAAAAAGCTGAGGGTTAGATTAGGTTTCTTTTTCAGAAACAAGTCCTGTTTCTCTTTTGAAGCCAGGAAAAGGCTAGTCACTGTGACCTTTTTACCTGTGCTAGACTATGGTGATTTGATCTACATGAATGCACCTGCCCATTGCCTGGAAAGGTTAGATGCCGCCTATCACAGTGCTCTGAGATTTGTTACTAACTGTAAAGCACTTACTCATCACTGTACCCTGTATGCCAAGGCAGGTCTGCCTTCACTTACTGTTCGGAGGCTCAGTCATTGGTACATATTCATCTATAAAGCCATGCTGGGTAAACTACCTTCTTATATCTGCTCCTTGATCTCACGGAGAGTGGCAAGTAGCTATTGCCTGAGATCACAGGATGTGTTTTTATTACATGTGCCAAGTGCTAGGACTGTTTTAGGTGCTAAAGCTTTTATGTGCGCTGCTCCTCTAGCTTGGAACA